TCATTGATGAGAACCCCTTTGCTTCTTAGACGACACACAACTTCATTCATGTACGAGTAATCTTCGGTTGGGGAAAGCAGGAGGCAAGCCTTAAATCTTGACGACGCAGAGAAACTCCCCTCAGAGATGGTAATGGAGTTTCCTTTGGCTTTGTGAGTTAAATACTTCGGGACTTCTTTACCTGGTAAGCATAGACACATGTAACCCCATCGTTGTATGATTACTCTTCTTGCTTCTTCGTCTAGTTTCACACAGTTTTCGAACGAGATTTGTCTGGTTGGATTGTAGAAGAAAGGGGAAGATACTCTCACCGCGCCTGTCTCCGATTTAACACACTTGCAGTCGTCGATTGTAGTATACGCCTTTGGTTCATCGAACGAGAAACAAACGCTTTTGAGCAATCCACAATTAGTTGCATCTAGTCTCCAAATCGAAGGCGGGAGACTCTGCATTGACACCAGCTTTCTGCAGTTTTGGACGTTAAGAACCTCTAGACCAGGGAGACTAATGACGCAATCTGGAATCTTCTTTATATCACTCTCGCTTAGGTTTAACACCCTTACACATTTGGGGACATGTGTTAATCTCTTGAGGCTTCTGCTACCTATCTCAAGCCTGTCAAGACGAAGCCAGCTTCCAGAAATTGATGCAGGAACATCTTCTATCTTTGTGTTGCTTGCTTCAAGATGTCTGATGTTGCTAGAAAGATCTGGAAAAGTTCTTAATCGCGAGCAACCACCCATCCTGACATACTCAAGAGATGCTAAGTTGATGTTGGTTGGAATAACTCGTAGCTTTCTGCAGCCAAACATGTTCAAACATTTCAGTTTGTGTAGATTCTTGATAGAAGAGGGAAGCTCCACCAAACTTTCGCAACTCATCAGTGTCAATGACTTGAGATTAGTAGCCTTCGAAAGATCTGGGATTTCTTTCAACATAAGGGAATCCTTCAGGTTTATCGTCTTCAGATTTGCAAGGGGCTGCATGTGTCAAACACAACAAATTAGAAAAGAAAAAATCATATGGAGCTTTTTCATAAACAAATACCAACCTGGATTCCTTCCCAGAGCTTTTCAAGATTGCTGCCTTCCATAGAAATTTCGATGAGACATTCTGGTTTAAATGTTGGAGGAAGATATTTTCTTGGGTATGAAGGCCAACGTAGTAACTTCAAACGAGGTAGATATGTCATGTCCTCTGATATTGACAGTTTAGCACGAGGATACCCATGGATTCTCAAGAATTGAAGATTACGCATTCCTTCAAAGGCACGCCCGCTTATAGAAAGCTCACCCATGTCGGAGATATCAAATGATATACCTATGACAGATCCAGTTCCCTATAAATTATTCCAAAAAGAAAGACAGATGAAATTGTCATAAAAAAAACAAAATATTTGTTGAGCAAGTTCGTAGATAAGTATGTAAGAACTTACTGTTTCATTTGCTAGTACATTATAAATCTCTTTAGCCTCTACTAAAAACTGACGTTTCCCAGGCTCATCTGATTGTTCACGAACAACTTGTCTACCCAATTGTTCTAGTAAAGAATGCATCACTATCCTCTGATAAGAGAAATCCAATATTGCAAACGCTTCGGACCGCCTTTCTTTGATTTCCACAAGAGATTTGACGGCTAGGGTCTTCAGCCCGTTTTCGACATCCAAATTACTGTCTGCCAGCATGATTGTCACATCGTAATGTGTAATCCCACGAAAAGAACGGAAATAATCATTGTTGAAGAAGCATGCGATGTGGAGAAACAGAGCTTGATCTTTCTTGGACAATCTGTCGTATCCCATTCTTAATACGTTCTCGATTTTTCCATGAAGACTACTTTCGATCCTTGATATCTGAAGTTCCCACTCGTCCTTGCTATCCCCACGCAACGATGAACCCACAACAGAAAGGGCTAGTGGAAGATTACCGCAAAGCCCAACTACTTTATTTGCAACCTCTTCGAAACCATCTGGTACAGATCTCTTTTCGAAAGCAAATAGACATAAGATCTCAAGAGCCTTTTCATCGGATGGAAATCCCACATCGTAGATCTCGTTAATCTTGTGTGCTTTCAAAATCTTTTTATCTTCCGTGGTAACAACGATCCGACTTCCTGAACCAAACCAAGAAGGATCTCCAGCCAAAACCTCTAATTGCTCTACATCATCTACATCATCTAAAATGATAAACACTTTTTGATCTTTCAGCCATTCTTTTATCCCCCTTAAATGATGTACCCTCATATCCCCTTGGTTCAAAAGCTTAGACAGAAGTTGGTTTTGCAACGTTAGCTTTGATTCGTAATCATCAACACCCACTATGCTCCTATAACTTCCTCCTCTAAGGTTCCCCATAAAACAACTAAGTCCAAAATCGCTAGAAACTAGATTGTATAAAGCTCTAGCAATGGTAGTCTTACCTATTCCTGCAGGACCCCAAATTCCAATCATCTTCACATTGTTGCACTCGAGGCATAACAAAGTGCCCAGCTTTCTCAAGTGAGCTTCCATGCCAACCATTCCATCGAAATCCCTCGACGGTGAAGATTCCAGATTCTTGGAAACATCTCTAGCAATCTTTTGGAGCATATCTGCTTCGGTAGCCCTAACAAAAAGCCAAACAAACAAAATCTTGTTTAGATTTGGAAAAACGTTTCCACCATTTTCTTGAGAAAGATGCAAAACTCATACCAATTTTTAGAATGTTCTCCAGCTATGGTTGCTACATCTGCCAAAGATTTGCTCCATTTCTGCTTGACTTCCTCTTCTTTCCCTTCACAAGTTCTCTCAAAAGCGTTTCCGAAATCTCCCCTCTGCTTCCGAACATCAGACGGATCAACTTCGTAAAAAACAGGCATCACGATCTGCCCCCAAGCGTCTTTGCAGTTCATGATTTCAACCAATTCGTCTAAGCACCAGCTCGAAGAAGCGTAGTTCTTCGAGAGCAGAACGATCGAGATTCTTGATTCGCTAATGGCCTTCACGAGCTCAGGTCCGATCGTGTGGCTTCTCTCGATCTCATGATCTTTGAACGTTATGATCCCTTTGCTTGCAAAGTAGTTGTGTAAATGACTGACAATCCCTTTACGGACATCTGCGCCGTGGAAGCTCGGGAAGACATGGTATCTCGTTATGCGTGAGGGCGAAGAAGAAGGAGAAGAATAAGATGAACAACTAACCAAAGTCATATGAGAGACTGGTTGAAAGATGAATCAAAGAAAGTATTGCAATGTCGTTTATAATATATATTGATGGAAAACGAGTAAGGAGAAGAGAAAATTCAAAGATGCAATTTCTATGTAATTGTTTCCTCAAAAGTCGTCGACGACCCTATTAAAGTTATCGGTCTTGTACTCTTGTGCCTTTGCCTCCAAGGAGGAATTTTCATTATGGGTCACGGGCCCGCATATTGTTTGTCAAGCCGTCGTTATCGTCTTCCTCCGGGTAAAGAAATATGTTGGAAATGGAACACTTTTTACATTTTACATCACTATGCAACATAATTTACTTCTTACATTTACATAACTATGCTTGTAAGTTGTAACTTGTCTAATTTGTGGAATTCTTTTGTCCTTGTATTTGTATATTGATTATTCATTTTGTCAAAAACAAAAAAAAACTCCCATATATATAATATATATTTTAACATATTTTACACTTTAATTAAGTTTGAGTTTGTGTAAATTTCACTTTAGCCTAAGGCTCAAAGATGCAAAACTCATACCAATTTTTAGAATGTTCTCCAGCTATGGTTGCTACGTTTGCCAAAGCTTTGCTCCATTTCTGCTTGTCTTCCTCTTTTTTCCCTTCACAAGTTCTCTCAAAAGCGTTTCCGAAATCTCCCCTCTGCTTCCGAACATCAGACGGATCAACTTCGTAAAAAACAGGCATCACGATCTGCCCCCAAGCGTCTTTGCAGTTCATGATTTCAACCAATTCATCTAAGCACCAGCTCGAAGAAGCGTAGTTCTTCGAGAGCAGAACGATCGAGATTCTTGATTCGCTAATGGCCTTCACGAGCTCAGGTCCGATCGTGTGGCTTCTCTCGATCTCATGATCTTTGAACGTTATGATCCCTTTGCTTGCAAAGTAGTTGTGTAAATGACTGACAATCCCTTTACGGACATCTGCACCGTGGAAGCTCGGGAAGACATGGTATATCTTTGTGCGTGAGGAAAAAGAAGAAGAAGAAGAAGAAGAAGAAGAAGAAGAAGAAGAAGAAGGAGAAGAATAAGATGAACAACTAACCAAAGCCATATGAGAGACTGGTTGAAAGTTGAATCAAAGAAAGTATTGCAGTGGTTTATGGATTAGCTATATGTGGAGGAGGTAACAAGTCGTTTATATGTATATATTGATGGAAAACGAGTAAGGAGAAGAGAAAATTCAAAGATGCAATTTCTACGTAATTGTTCCCTCAAAACTTTTGAGTCAAAAGTCGTCGACGACCCTATTAAAGTTATTGGTCTTGTACTCTTGTGCCTTTGCCTCCAAGGAGGAATTTTCATTATGGGTCACGGGCCCGCATATTGTTTGTCAAGCCGTCGTTATCGTCTTCCTCCGGGTAAAGAAATATGTTGGAAATGGAACACTTTTTACATTTTACATCACTATGCAACAGAATTTACTTCTTATATTTACATAACTATGCTTGTAAGTTGTAACTTGTCTAATTTGTGGAATTCTTTTGTCCTTGTATTTGTATATTGATTATTCATTTTGGCATAATAATCTTATGTATAGTACTTAACAAACTCCATTTTGTCAAAAACAAAAAAAACTCCCATATATATTATAAATAATAATTCCAAACTGATCAAAAATCAACAAATCTAGTTCCTTTACCAATACAATGTTTTGTATTTATTAGAATACACACGTTTACAAGCATATGTTGAGTGTAATATATCTCAATGATCTTACAGCTATCTATAATCAGATTATACAGGAAACAACAAAAGACTTGTGAGCTTCAAATCTGAAAATCTGTTGCAGGAGTCTTCTATGATGTTCTTCTCCCCGGTGTAAACACATTGGTGTGAGATTTTGTCAGGTAAGTAAAATTCAGACATGGAGGCAAAGGAGATACACACACACCTTTCTTCAAAAGATCTTCAAGATCAAGTCTTTGCAATGTCAACACAACTCTAGTTTCTTTCCAAACAAACATGAGAAGACCTTTAGATGTCACAAACAGTGAACCCGGTTTGTAACCAGGATACCTGAAACCATAACCTTTCGCAATACCTTCTCCTGCGTAAGAATGCTCGAAATCTTCACCATTTGTATCATCAAAAGGAAAGAGCTCAAAAGAAGGAGAACCAATCTTTACAACAAACATTGCTGATCCATTAGGATGCATCACGTAGTGAGTACCTTCAAGTATTTTCGTCCCTATAAGAAGTCTCTCACTCTCATCTTGAGATTCTTCATAAGTGAGCATCACTAAAAACAGAGCCTTTCCTGGTTTCTCTTCAGTACATTTCCCAGGCGGCCAACCAAATGTTCCTCCCCACAAACCGGCGTACTCTTGACTGTTCACCGGATTCTTAACCGGTAGCTTATAAAGCGCGAAACGTGTTTCGTGCATGTTTGGCCAACCTTTGTAAGAAGAAAGCTTAGTCTTTGAAGCTTTGACACTAAGACCTACAAAATCACCAGAGCTAAGAAAGCTTTGGAGATTCAAACGTTTAATCCCACTGCTCGTCGAAGAAGACGAGCTCTTTGAAGTACTACTTGAACTAGACCTTCTCAGGATATGCTTGATGCCACTTTTGAAATACTTGCTAAATCCTTTCCTTTGTGTGCCATGTATCTGATTCTCATCTTCCATGTCTCCATAACCAAGACTCTTCCACAACTCATTACTGTCTACCTGATTTGGATCATAGCACAACCCATCCTCAAGCTTCATGTGGTTCCAGTTCCCACCAAACTTATGCATCTTAAGCAGCATTGTTCTCCGTTCCAACAACATCGCTTCATCGTCTTTCGAACAGCGAAACAGCTTCCCACTTGATAGCTCAGGTTGAGTTAAACCTACACGGCCCGTCACTATCTCAAGCAACTTCCTCCTATCGCTAAAAGCTAGCTTACAGAACGAAAACCGAACATCGTTATCAACCTCACCGCACAACCTCTTCTCTCGCCTTGGCTCAACCTCTAGTAAAAGCACATTGCAACTCTTCTCAACGCCCATGACAAAACCAGGATACAAAGAACTGCATTCTCCGTCTCTCCCATGGAGGAAAAACGCGGCGGAGCCATCGAAACCGCAGATTATCTCAAACACCGGCGACCACATGACCCGACCTTCTTGAATCCCTAAAGGACCAACCTCTTGTGGGATTATCCGGCAAGCGACAAGGGACAAGAAACCAGGCATGACATGAACAACGTTCCCAAGTTCAGGGTTTTGGTGAACCCAAACCCCAACAAGAGGCTTCATTACCTCGGCAAGAAACCTACAAAGCGCCTTGTAAGAAGAGATCCCGATTCGCCATTGGACTATTTCAAGTAAAGGAAGGACCTTTACTACTTCACACTGTACAATCCAGATCCTTTCTGAATCCACAAGGCTACAGAGGCTTTTGCAGCATAGGCTTAGATTGCAAATGTCAATCGGAGAAAGAAATCGGGAGATTAGAGCTAATACATCTTCTGGAAGCGACAGGAGCAAACAAGCATCAGATGATTCCGATGGCAAATCGCTGGTCTTCATCTATTAGGAAGGGTCTTAGCAACAAACTCTAAACCCAGAAAAACGATTCCTTGAAGTAGGAAGGGTCTTACCGGATTCTAACTTTGAAGATCGAAAACGCAGGCTTGGGATTGAATCAGATCGCTTTAACAGACACCAAGAATTAGACTTTGAATTCACCCATCAAAGTGAATCGAAACTAAAACAAGATTGTGGGATTTTTGTAGATGATCAAAAGGCAGAACTCGGAATCGGAATCAGATAACAGAAGAAAAAACGGAGGAATCGCAGCTTATGCTATCAGATTGTGGGAATTTGAAAGAAGTAGAAGAGAGCTAAAAGCAGGCGATGTGAGAAAGATCTTCCGTTTCTAGTAGAAGTTGACTACAACTGTGAAAAGTCTTTACTCTTTAGTTCTTGTTTCACTACTAAATTAATCAGATAGTTTGACGGATTCTCATCAACATATTGTACGGTTTTAAAATTTTATCTTTGCATTTTAAATAGTTCTTAATATAAAAAGATATGTTTATTAATTATTATGGATGCAAAAAATATTGAATACCCGTCCCTTTTCATTTGCCCAGGACGTTTTTAAAATTATTTTTTGGCACTTTATATTGTTGATATATAAAAATTGTTTATTTTGGATGCAAAAAAATATTAAAAACCTTTTTCATTTTTTTTTGAAAGTTTAAAAAATTAAATTATTCAATTTTGAAAAAAATCGGAAACTAATTGTACTTGTGTATATTTAACAAGTAATTAAGGTTATATATGTTCTGTTGAGTATTGTATAAAACTCTGTGAAACAACAGATATTCTTCTATAAGTAGTAGAAAAAAAATGGCATACAACGTTTCCACAAATTAAATAAAAATCATCTCAACCTTCTAATTATAACCATTATAAACTCGTTCCATGCATCAATTGGCCCGGGCAAACACCAGTGGACACAATCGTTATAGCCTTTCATCCACTTATTTCCCCAGTAACCATTCGGATACCCATCTGGTCTCATCATCATAACCCTTGTCACATCCAAAACCTCAAACTTCTTGGAGTTGTTGTTGTCTCGTTTTGTTATTACTCCTTCAAGCTGTTCAATCTGAGATGTACTGATCTTCATCTCGTTGCTCTTAGGGTCGATTTGATTTTCCTCCAAAGGACTCGTCTTGCTGCACTCTCCTCCCGTGTTCCAAACCCATTCTCGAAATGGGCAGGAGAGAAAGTCCTCAGGACCGTGACCAAATCATCCTTACACTTGTCACACTCATATATGTGCTTAAAAACCGCTGAGTAAACAAGCTTTAACCCTTCCTCCGGGCTAATCTGAGTCATGTTTGGTAAGTTACAGTAAATGCAACCAAGTGGCTCGTCTCTTCTGTGTATGACTATTGGTCTGAAGAACCAGTGAGCAGCCGAGACAATGGCTATATCTGTATTTGGCAGACCCTTAGACCAACCTTCATCGATCTTGCCAATATCTAAATCATACAATCCTGTTCCTGTCTTGTTAACGTCTCTTCTCTCTCGTCCGGCCACAAGAAACCTAGTCCAAGAGGTTGAGAGAGTGAAGTCATGGTTTGGGAAATACCAAATCATGTTTCTGTCTTCTACATCCTTGTAGATATCCTTTGGAGTTTCTTCCTACACAAGCAAAAGCTAATATACTTTTGGAAAACCTTTCTTGTAAACAAAGCAACAGGCAACAGTAATATCCTTTCGAAAACTCACCGTTGACAACAGGCAGAGATGAGATTCCATTTGGTTTCTTGCTACAGAATCACCAATAAAACTCATCTTCTTGCCTCGAACCAAACTGAGGAACACCTTGGGATTAAACCTCGGAAGATCGCAGCCATTGGGTTTCCATCTATACAACAAGAAATCTCTGTTTGGTCTCCCATGTTTAAAGCAGTTCTTCGATTCAGGAATCGTAGAACAGCTCGAGTTTGTGTACAGAGGTCCACTTTTGTCTCGAACACAATGTCCCTTGAACAAATCACACTCGCGATCTAACCAAACCACAACAAAGCAAAAGATTAAACAAATCAATTTTTTTTTTTGTCAAAAGATTTAACAAATCAATATATAGTACTTTTCCACAATACAAAACTACAAAATCACAAATGCAATATATATTCTTTTTGTATATTTTACATTAAGACCCCAACAAAAAAATGTATCTTCTTTTTCTTTGACCTTACCGATTTGAGGTTGGAAGGAAAGTATATATTGATCGGCGATGGACTTGTAAGCACTCTGAAAGAAACCGGTGAAGAAGAGAATTATGCAAAGAGATGTCAAGAGAAATGGCGCTAATCTCCCCATGTTCGTAATCTTGACCATACATCTCTGTGTTTTCTCTGATTTTTTCTGGAAAATAGATGATGATTTCATAGTTGCATGTTGATGCATAAACCCCACGCAGATATATTTTTCTTTTGCTTCTGTTTTTTTACACTTTAATTTGGAAAGTGAAAATAAAATATGAGGCAAGGAAGTAGAAAGAAAGCTTATTTCTGAAACTTCTATATTGTTTGTGTGGGGTTTGCATGTGATAAACCACAATTTTAATTACATAATGACAAACCGCAATCCACGAGTCTTTTTAATTACACAGGTGTTAAATGGTATGTAGTTTTTTTCACGTTTTCACGTTTTGAAAACGTGATTCCGCTAAAAACATACCATTCATGACAACATGCACAGAATGATTAAAATTAAAAATTAACAAGTGCTTTTCAAATTCATTCAGCACTTTTTATATTTATAACTAGTTTACACAAAACTTCATTCATCTACTTAAGAGTACCTTTTTAGCGTTTCAAAATAATAAAAAAAATTATTATCATTTTTACTCTAAAATAATCCTATTTTTTTAATTTCCATTATAATAATTAGTGTTTTACCTCGATATATTGCCGCCACTTTACATCCCGCCATCTTTTACCGCTATTTTTCTACCTATTCTATCGATAACCTAGCTATAAACATATATATATATTTGTGATAGATGGAAAATCAATTACCATCGTGTCTTGTGGCAGTCAACTAAGAAGGTAGCATTTTTCCTTTTTGTTTCTATTAGTTTTGCTATTATGATAGCATGTGCGCCTCAATAGCTACGAATTAGGGACTTAGGGTTAGAATATTGAAACACTTAGTTGAATTCAAGCTGTCATATTAACTACTCCCGATCTATGAAACTGCAGATTTCCAATTGCATCATGAGTTCGTCTGATGAGTCAGATTCACAAGTTCGTGGCTTTGGTGATGTAAGTATATTTCTTAACTTGCTCTTTTAAGACATCGAAAGTTATTTGATTGCGTTTAAATTAATTGATGAAAATCATAGGTAGGAATAATAGTTGATGAAAATTTTAGTCAGGAACAAATTGGTCAACAAACATGAGATTGTATCACGAGAACAGAGACGAGAGAAATACGCAAATAGGATACTTGGCAAAGAAGGTAAGCAGACATTGATACGGGAATTCAAGGCACGAGCTGGCTATGAATTTACCTGGAATAAATTTAAGAATAAGTATGACTACGAACGTACCCGATTTACTACCTACAATAAGTTGCGAAATTGAACTGGAGTGAGAGTCCTTCCTAACACTGGGGAAATCGATATGCCGGAAGATTGGTGGAGGCAACGAAAGCTGGTAATGATCTTTTTATCAATACTGTTGTATGAAATTGATGTTTATATATTTCTCGAAAGCTTATTCATTATTTATAATCATCAGGACACTCCTAAATCACAAGCAATTATGAAGAACCCACTACAGTGCATGGAGCTAATGCATCAAGTTTTTGGACGACGTAGAGTTGATATGGAACTTGCATTTTCACCTGCCTTAAACCGGCAGAGACGGCAAGCTACTGCAGTTGTAGCTGATGACGATTCTGGTGATGAAACAGAGCCACCGACCCAAGAAGTTGAAAATGATGAGCAGCCAGATTCTCTTGAAAATGATGATGGTTTCCAGAATCCACTTCAAGTTGACGCTTCCCAACTTGCAAGAAGTGATAGAAGATTTGTTAGGAACCATCGTAAGCGTACTAGAGATCCAACTCCTCGACGAACTGAGATTGAGCAGTGTATAAGATGCTTGGAAGAAACAAACACGCGGCGGAGATTGGATTGTCTACTGGAAACACGTTTTTTGTTGCTGCACTGCGCCTTCTCGGTAACTCCACTCCAGCAACGCAATTCTTGGCTTTGCCGAACAACCACTTGAAAATTGCAATGCTAGAGGGAATGACCGGATATAGTCGGGAAGGACACTGGATTGGTCTTCTAGGAAGCATCCCTGGTGGAGATAATGGTTCTAGTGCACGTGTAACTACAAGTGCAATTGTGGATCCTTACCGTGGATATCCAGATGGGACAACAAATGCTCTTGGCATGCATTTTGGTGTGAACTCGAATTCTGAAGAAAGGGCTGAAGAAAGGGCTGATACAAACCAAAGAAATAGATATGAAACTACTTCACCAGTGTTAGGTGGATTTACAAGTCTACTAAACCATGGGATTGGCAGTCGCTCTTTAGATTTTTAGCAAGACAAGAAAAAAGCTTTAAAATGGCAATTTATGCTATTATATTACCATCGTTCTTGTTCTTTAACTAGCACTCTTTATTTATAAAATCTTTTCTTTACTTTCATACACTCAATGTCAGATTAAATGTTTAAGTTCTCTAAGTTCATTATTTACTTTTGCAGGAACATCGAAGAAAGGAGTTGTGGGCACGTGGATTAGATGCATTGACGGATAATGAAATTGAAGAATTGTTTGCATTAGAGAATCAAAAACTTGTTGGTTTGATTCTACAGCCGTTGCTCCAATACTACATGCGGTATTATAGAAGACGACCTATGGCAACTGAATGGGGAGTTGGATGGGTGTATTTACAAGACAAAATCATGAATAGTCCAACAGCTTGTCACACTCTTCTCAGGATGCATCTGCAAACATTCAGGGGGCTGTGTAAGATTCTTAAGGACAAATATAGGCTACAAAATACAAAGAACATGAAGGTACAAGAGAGTGTTGCAATTTTCTTATATATATATGTGCACACAACGAAAAGCAACGAGTCATTGCAGAATTATTCGGTCATTCGCACGAGACAGTCACTCGTAAGTTTCATGAAGTTCTTGATGCATGTGAGAAACTTGCTGGTGATCTATTAGGTGAACGGAGTCCTCAAGAACTTAGCACTGTACTATGTGGACTACGAGAAAATGGCAACTACTGGCCATATTTCAGAGATTTTATCGGTGCAATGGATGGTACACATGTACTGGTTAGGGTGCCTGCAACGGAGAAATTAAACTTCTGGTGTCAACATGAGTACACTAGTCTTAATGTCTTGGCAATTTGTGATCTGGACCTGCTTTTTACTTATGCATACATTGGAGTTCCAGGCTCATCTCATGATGCTAATATTCTGCAACATGCCATGGATAATGATCTGTGCTTTCCAACCCCACCCATTGGAAAATATTACTTAGTAGATTCTGGATATGCTAATAAACCTGGATTTCTTGCTCCTTTCCGAGGACGTGTTACGAGATATCATCTTCGAGAGTTTCAAGATGGGGGACCTCCACGCAACGACAAAGAGTTGTTCAATCGGTGGCATTCGTCTCTTCGTTGCGCTATTGAACGAACCTTTGGAGTTTGGAAAAGCAAATGGAGAATCTTAACAGATCACCCAAGGTATAACAAATCCATTCAAAAGAAAATTGTTGCAGCTACGATGGGTTTACACAACTTCATACGACGATCGCAAATTCTAGATGAAGATTTTGAAGGAGCAGATAGATTTGATATCAATGGTCATGAAAACACAGGAAGAGATGGTACGGGTATCCATGAGCAAGACGAGGACGTGAGTATGCAGACGATTCGTCAAGAGATTGCATCTCATTTATGGATTATGCAAGGATAGGAGTTTTTTAGTTTCAGAATTTTCTTTATTGTTCTAGTTGTTACATTTGATTCGTTTTTGTTATGTTTGAGATGATTTGAGCTTTAATTATTCTATTTAAATTTATATGACGTGACGATTTGATAATTTGGTTTAATTTATTTTTTTAACTTTTACATTTAATGTCTAATATGATAATTTAATAGTATTTATTTTACTATTCAGTTATTCAGCCAAAAATACCATTCTTACATTCTGTTATTCAGCTGAACTGTAAATTTTTTTTTTTGTTATTCAGCTATTTCATAATTCCGTTCCTATGATTCCGCTATTTTATAATTTAGCTATTCCGTTATTCTGCTATTCAGTTGTCATACCATTCAAACCCACAGTTCTTGTAAATTTCCTCGCGTTTTTCTTTTTGATAACGCGCCAACTATCTTTTTTGACCTTTCCTCCCAACATTTATGGAATATTAATATAAAGCAATTTACTGATTTCTAAATTTTAATTGCATATTTAGTTATTTACTATAAAAAAACGTTGATAGCATATTTTTTTTTAAAAAATCAAAATAAATATCTAGTTCACAATAATATGGACTATGGAGCTTAGTGAATTGTATTAGTATTATCTGTATGTCACCATAAATTTGTTAATCCTCATATGTAATTATGTACATATTTTCTTAACAGAGAATTATATATATATTTTTCTCCTAGTGGGTTGATTTATGACTCTCTATATACGCAAGAAAATCTATTTCTAATTTTTTTTATACAAACTATCCTTATAATACCAACACGTTTAGTTTTTGGAATTCAGTTTTCTATTATATAGTCAACGGTGACGTGCCCCTTGATCTAACATAAAATATAAACAGTTGGCCCATTTGAGACCAAATTTAAACACACCTACGAAAAATGATGGACTACATTAACTATATATGATGATCGAGTTGTATCTGGACAATGGTATTGATGATAATAAGAACACAATGATGATTTAAAATAATTTTACTAGAATCGTAAAAAGTAAGTTACAAAATACATAAAATTATATAGAGTTGGAATCAATCTAATTTTTTTAAATTAAATGAATATAATATATTCATAAATAAATATAATTTTAAAATTAAGATATTAACATGGTTCTCTGTAAGACCATTACCATAAATATTTGTAGTAAAATACGTATAGTGCACATGAGAAGCCGAAGGATGTGCAGATTTTCAAATGGGTCATAAATGTTAAGAATCCAAATTCAAAATATAATTTTTTTTTTAAATGAATACACAAAAAATTATAAGGTTGACCATAACATCTCTGGTATTAAAACAAACTAATCAGTGGATAATATTTCAAAAACCTATTTCATAAAAGTTTAGTCAATAAATTGTCTATAAAAAAGTATTTAGATAACTTTTTTTTTTCAAGGTTCAAATCTTACCTTTATTAAATTATGCTCTAGAGATACCGGTAATAAATAATTAACAAATTTTCTTGAAAAATACAACAAGATGCTAAACCATTTATTAAAAAAAAAATATATACAACAAGATGCTTTAACCAAAAAAAAAAAAACCCACTGGGGAGGCCTACTTCTAGTAGTCGCAGGTTACTAGAAAACCACTTGGTTATTTCGTCGTCGCAGGTGTAATCTCCTGACCTTCGGATTGAGCTTAGCCGATTTCTGACGTTCTTGCCGACGGCCGAATCAACATGGAGAGGATTGAATCTCTCCATGTGTGCGATCATTCCGTTCGACTCTCCATATGTAGTAAAGAGTTGCTTGAAAAACGTAGCTGACAAGGAATGGTTTAATACGATCCCCACGTGCATTTGGAATTGAGATGAGATGATAATTTGTAGAGAAGTCGGTGGTAAGGAGTTGTCGTGTACGATTTTCCCAAATTTCAATTGAAAATTGACAAGAGAAAAAGATGTGATTTCGTAATTACGCATAAATCATGACAATGACATCTAGGATTAGTTACTCTTAAATTATATCTTACGATATAAGATAAAGGTGTTTAACTTTTGCTCTAATTCGGTTATGAGACATGAAACAAAGTTGTCTTTCCACTACAAGACAACAGCTGAAATCCGACGGTCAAATCCGTCAGAAATTCGTCGAAAAAGGTCTTTTCCGACAGATTTCTGACGGATTTGACCGTCGGGTAGAAATCGTTGGAAAACCAAAATCTGTCGGAAATTTCTGATGGTATTGATCCGTCGGAAATTTCTAACGGATGTTCCGACGGATAACTGTTCTGACAGAATTCCAAACAGATAACAGTTCCGACGGAATTCCGATGAATAACTATTCTGACGGATTTCCGACGGAATATAAAATAAATATAAAAAAATTAAAATTAAAACTAGAACGATTAGTATATAATTTAAAAATGGTTTATTCACATTTTTATTAGATAATAATTATAAAAATTACAAAATTTATAATAATTATAAAAGTTTCTAAACATTTTTATATACGAATTCGTGTGTCCTCTGAAGATTTTATTCTCTGAAAATCATTAGTTCTAATGTATTAATCTGTTGATCTAATAAATTAGTATGTTGCATATATCTGAAGTTCAAACTTGAGGTTACGTTTTATTGGTGAGATCATGGCACATTCATCTTCGATCATCTGCATTTCATTTTGTAGTGTCCAATATTCTTTTTCCAACACACTTAAAGATTTTGGAGAATCTTAAAAACTTCTCTCATGATTTCACGAGGATGTTTTAAGACTGTTAAGAAGAGTGATACTTGATACACATTAAGGAAACCAATAATAATAAAAAAATAAGAAGAACTTCTTTCGTTATTTAACATTTGAACAAAAAATCCCAAACCTCTGAATTAAGCTTTATTATGTGGCAATCCATTAATTTTTTTTTTATCTAAACCGTAAATGCTTCATCCGTACAAAAAATACCCATAAACCCATCCTGACTATTAAGAGAGAATACTAAACCTAGTAACAAATTAGTGAATTCAAACAGACTAGTGTACAAATATATCATCAATAAAGGGCATTTAGTAGGGAAATCTAAACCCTAATTGATAAGTGAAAAAATCCAAACATAATTGTAAGTCATTAAAATTAATCGAGAAAGCATTTAGCGTTCGAAATCGAGAAAGCATATATTTTTTTTTCTTAAATACAAATCGATGAAATATTGTTTTAACCAGATGCACTTTGCAAATAATCATGCAAACAGACAATACAAATTAACTTGTTTTTTGGTTTACTCCCATTCATTTAGTCCTAAAATATATAAAAACATAGAAACATCAATCAATTCCAAAGATTGAAGCACAACATATATAAAAAACATTGAGCTTCAGAACACACGTAACTCTCTGAGAAGAGCGACGCACAGATCCAAGAAGATGAAGTGAGGTCCATCAGCTCTCTGGATGTCCAACAAGTACTTCCCTTCACTTACTTTGTATAGCTGTAAAACATAAATATACAAATTATTTTTGCATTTAACTAGATGAAGAAAATACATGGTATATGCAATGTTGTGTTCACAATCTGGCAAAAATGTAAAAACATTATTGAAAAACTTAGTTAAAAAAAAAGAGTATCTTGTATATACCTGAAGTTCAAACTTGAGGACCGGTTGTGAGATATGACTTTTGTGAACCCATCTGCATTTTATGTTGTAGAGTCCAATCTTTTTCCAACACACTTTCAGATTTTGAAGAGCCTTAAAAACCTCAGTCATGATATCACGAGGATGCGCTTGAGACTGTCAAAATAACAAGAACAAAACTTTAACTACATTTATCATAAGTTTTATTAGAGTAACAAGTGAAATTCGAAGGAAAGCCTAAAATGATTCAACAACCATAGACTAACCTGAATTCCAAGCGTCCAATTTTTGTCAGCGTTGACCCGTGATCTTTGTCCAAGCATGTGGTCATGATTAATCAATGCAGGAAACGAAGCAACCATTTGAACTGGAATCGTCGAATTAAAAGTACCATCCTATATTTATAACATTAATTAATAAGAAAAATATGTAAGTAAAACCTAAACAAGACTTAAAAGCTTATGGTACAAAAGAACTAGAACATCGAATATTCAAGACCAATATAACACTTTCTCTGTTTCATATTAAATGACTAATAAGTTGGTTTTTACATATTAAGTAAATTCAATTTATTAAATAACTACAAAATCTTTACAAATTTAGTTTCTTTTTGTTGTTTGATATATTTATATCATTTTAAGTTATATTTTCAACATGTATATGATATATACCATACACACTTTTTAAATATGTGAAAATTCGACGAATGTTGGTAAATAATTGGTATTCTATTCATCACTATTCATCAATGTGTGAAAAGAGTATTATTGCATGCATGTTTTTTAGAATCATTTAGAGTTTATTCGGTAGAGAGAGAGATAGAGAACAATTACCGATATCTCTTTAAAATTGGATTGGAAATAGTCACTGGGAACACGACGTCGACTGTCCAACAATAGATAATATGCAACTGTTGCCTAAAACAATGACAAATGAAACTCTAGTAATCATTCTACAAAAAACTATTTAGAACACAAAGATACTTCATCATAGGAAAAACCACTTCATACCTCGTTTTGGATCATGTTGACAAGAGATTCAATAACATGGTTTCTATCAAATCCTTTGTTGACGACTTCTTGAATTATCTCCTCATCAATCTGGAAACAATTATAAATTCTGAACTTCACTAATTCATACAAATGATGTTATTTTGCTACATAATAATGATAAAAGGCTCTAACCTTTCTAGCTTGTTCTGTAGTATCTAATGGAGGAACAGCAAGATAAAGAGGAATCTGATTATTGAACCAAGGGTGTTGACGAATCCCAGGAATGCTAATTCTCAGCAACGGATCAACCATAAGCATCCTTGGTATCAAATCTCTAGCTTCATATGACAAATGATCTGGAAGAGTATACTCTCCCCTCTAGAAACAAAAACAAAAACATAAATATTGACTGCAAAACATGTCTAATAGATTATTGTATGAAAAGATAATTGTATAATACCTTTATTTTACTGAATAGACTAGGCACAACTACGTCATCGAAAGGAAGATTACCGCATAGTAGAGCATATAATATCACTCCGCAGCTCCATATATCTACTTCTGGTCCAGCATATGGTTTCCCCGAAATGACCTATAAAAAAATGGGTGTAATTAATTGAAACGTGAAATAGATACCCAAATTAATATAATAAGGACACATATGTACGTTAGTTTTCAAATAATATACCTCCGGAGCAGCATAATTAGGGCTTCCGCAACTTGTCTTTAAAAAATGACCATCACGCATGACATTACTTAATCCAAAGTCAACAATCTTTATGTTGCATTTTGAGTCCAAGAGTATATTTTCCGGTTTGAGATCTCTATGAACAACCCTATTGCGATGGCAATACTCCACACCAGATATGATCTGAATAATTACGACTTTAATAACATGTTAGCAATCATATAAGATATATGATATGTTCCACAAGATACGAACCGTATGCGAAAACTACCTAACCTGCTGAAAAAGATGGCGACCCTCGTCTTCAGTTAATCTACCTTTCTCGACAATATAGTCAAATAGTTCACCGGACGTAACATATTCCATAACGACGTAAATGTCCTCCGGTGTCTCGATAACTTCATATTGACGGATGATATGAGGATGCATCAACAATCTGAGAATTTTTATCTCCCTTTCCACTATAAGGGAAAAAAATTGTGTAAAATATAAGATTAAAATAATAATAATGATCATAAGTACGTAATCTTATATGTAAAGACATATTTTTAACATTTTAAAGTTTCCTACCTACGCAAGTTATGAGAAGCTGTAATGTGTCACCTAAAAAGTTTACATCTATCCCTTTTTAAAATTTTACATTAAACAACAAAAACTTCATGTTGAAAAAACTTTTAAAAAACACACGATTAGATCTTTTTTTTTTTGGGGTCAAATAGTAAGGTTCTCTACAGACACAAATATTCAGAAGTTATCACTTGTCCCCTAAAAAAATTGATATATGTCCGCTTAAATTAAACAACAAAAATCTCATAGTTTTTTTTTTTGGTTCAAAACAAAAATCTCATAGTTAAAACATGAAAAGAAAGCCCACGACTATGTACTATTTCTTTTATGATTCATATCGACAGCACTAAATACAAATCACTCGATTACATTTCGAAGTCATGTTCGATATAAAGTTTTGGTGTCGGTTTCTCAAGATTAAATACAAAAGAGATTAGCGTATACACAATCCATACAGAAACCTTATTATACTAACAAGAGCATAGATCACTGATTGTAATGGATAGACATAATCTTGTAATTTTACGAAATCTCTTAAATAAAAATTAATACATCTATATACCTTTTTCGACTATTTCCATCTTCTTAATCTTCTCACGATTAAGGATTTTGATAGCAACTTTGTGTCCAGTAGCAACATGATCTGCTAATTTCACCTTTCCAAAAGATCCATATCCAAGAGTTTTACCAATCTTATAATTTGGTAGTACTGATGCCCTCTTACTGGAACTTTTATTCGAGGATCCGTCCATACTCATGTAGGTTGAGAATCTGCTGCAACACACACACACAAACTCAGAATTACACATTTTTGTAGCAAAAATATATGTTAAGTTAACAATAAAACACATCATGGTAAAGCTACATAGGAAATCCATATTGAATGGTGATATTCCAACGATTTCCAATTCGTTCAGCATATTAATTACGTAAGGGGATTTTACTTATTATGTAAGTATACACATATGTTATCGCATTCAAAATCAGAAGTAGTTGTTATAGCTAGCTAGTAACCATGAAATCAATGCTTGTTACATAATAAATATCTTGAACAGGAGAAAAACCTTAAATTGTATATTCAAACGAAGAAAACTCGCAAACAGGCTGGTTGATAAAGAAAAACTGAGATCTATAATGCAAATATGAACACATACACACAAAAATTGCGCCTATAAGAGAGAAAAGGGGGAGAAATATAAGAAAAGAAATTGTAGACCTGAGTCCGTGGACACATACAATTTAGTTCGTTTCTTTTGGTTTTTATCTAGTTTTGTCTGGTGTAAAACTGAGTCAGACTGATGTAAAGTAAAACAAAAAAATCTGAGTCACACTGTTTTCATGAATCATCATGAGTCACACTAGTCATCAGATAGTAGTAAATTAATTTCCACACCCTTACGTTACAAAGGTCAATTTCTGTTTTAGCTTAATAAAGCCAAATATAACAATAAATTTGAAATATATTAGTAAAATTATTACTAAAATCTACGTATTCAACATTTTTTAAGAAAAATACATTTCCTTTACAAAGCAATTGCAATTAATGTTAATGGGTGGTTTGACTAACTAGACAGTCTATATTTCCTAGAATATTTAATATTAGCATATATACACAAATGCATAGATTTGTTTCTATATAAATATAAATATATTACAAAATTTCTTGTAGAGAAAAAGTTATAAAGTGTAAGCATTTAATGTTTATTTGTTGTACAGATACTTAAAAAAGAATATTAAAATTTGATGTAGATTTATTAGCTGATTTGAAATATTTTGATTTTAATTTTATGATGTGTAACTAAAGAAAAGCAGTATTCACTTTTCGAAAATACTAAAAATCCATAACCTTTCTATACATTTTTAGGAAATATATCTTATTCTATTTTTTTAGAAGAATTATGTTGTATAAATATTTTAATATAATATTTTAGTATATTAAATCTTATTAACTTTTTCTTTTACAAAACAACTGTACATAAGAAATTAATTAAACATTAAATTGATGTTTAAAAAATACAGAAAGTGAAAAAAGAAAATCAATATTTTTCTCTTTCTCTAACAAATATCATTAGCACCAAATATCATTTCAAGTATATATAGTTTTTTGAAATCAAGTTTTCTAGAATTAAAAGTTGTAGGATCTCCAGGCATATCTTATACTATTAGCTAGTGAATACATATAAAAAAGTATATAACAATATCAACTTATCAAAAATTGGCTAGAAATCTTGTTTGGTTGGAAACTTGGAATGACATTTGCAAACGAGAGAAGAAATACCAGACTGATATCCACACTCTGATTTGCACAGTGGAAAACGTAGCCAAGATCTGAGAGAGTGAGCATCGTAATATTTGTGGTATGGACCATTGAATCTAAGACTGCATGAGCAAAAAAAAAAGAAATTAGCCATAGTGAGATACAAATCAGCAGGGAGTGAAACTACGAAACATCATACAAGTACATAAAACTTAATTAAAAGATAGAGAACTTATAAATTCACATAAATATTGGCTGATGCGGTTCAGATCTGTCACCTTCAGCTTGATCGGTGAGATGTTGAAGAAATTTTATTATAAAAAAAAATGCAATAACTGGATTCAATTCTGTTTGAATATCAAATGGGGTTGACTTGGTATTGTCTCTATAGAGATTGATTTTCTTACTGTTAGGAATTTTTGTTGTACTCATTCTTTTGAACGGCAATTTCATTGAAATTGAAGTAGAGATTTACATAACCGAAACTTAAGAAAAGAAAGCAAGAAGGGGTTTATTTGCTAGTAAATCAGCCACCATATGATCGAGAAATAAAAACAAACGAAATAGATAAAAATGAAGAAGGAAAAGATTGGATATCGAGGCGAAATAGATAAAAATGAAGAAACAAGAGACTGAATCCGAAGTTTTCTTTCATTTGCTCTTGCGATACGATGGCGTAGATAAGATCATGGCTATATATATATTTGGTAGAGTATCCGGTCTCACAATCAGAATCAGCCCTAAATCTTAAAAGGCCGGGCGATATAATGTATTTGGATCATATTAGATTTTAAATATAGGCCTATAAAAGAACTCTCTATAATTTGGCAACTCGATAAAAAGACATTTGGAAATTATAATTGATTTTGAAATCCATTTGGCTGATTTTAAAATTAATAGATTTATTAATTTCAAAGACGATTTTCAAATCCATTAAAATACAAGAACCAATAACCTTCACTAAAGAACTGAAATTAGTTTACAAAAAGGGCCACAAAAATATAAATTTCATCTGTTAAATAACTGATAATATGCACACTAATATTTAAGGGATGACAATTTAAAATGAATAGTATCAAGTTTAGATAAACAGTAAATAGAAACAGCCATTTTGAGATTCTAAAACGACATTCTGAAAAACAAGAAGATTAACTCGAAAATTATACTGTTTAATTGTGGAGTGAAGAGAGAGCACAATTGATCAATTGTCCTCACTTTTAATCAGTAACACATGAAGCGGGAATTAAAAAAGAAAAGATTCAACAACCATGGACTAACCTTAAGTCCAACGGTCGAATGTTTGTCAACTTTGACCCGTGATCTTAGTCCAGTCATGTGGTTATCAAGCTTCCTCTCATCGCTCTGTTTCTGTCTCCTCCTTCCATACCACAATATTAGAGAAGTTTCCTTTTTCAGGTAAAATTTTAACCCAAACAAAAACAATTCTAAACTTCATCCATGTTGAGTCTTTTTTTTTTCTGTTTTTTCATAATCTCCAGTACATTGTAGGTCATCGGATGTTTTTTTGCATCCAATTTTATAGCTTTGCATTTTTTTTCTCCGTAAAAGATTTATATAACTGTTCTCTTTGGGATCTGTCTTAAGTCAGCAAATAATTGATATCGATCTTTATGCATTGCATATGCCATGTGTTTATGTAATGTTCATTAAATCTTTAGATTCAAGACCCATAAGAACCATATCTATACATTTTTTTTTTCTATTTGAAAAAAACTATGTTTCCATATTTTTGTTTGTGATATAGATGTCCTTTTCCACATTTGTCTGTTCAGCTATTATGAGAAATTTATGTATTTCATGAACCTGATTGTAATTGAAATCCTTAATTTTTATTCCCTATTTTTTTCCAGATAGTAACTTCTCTATTCAACGCAAATTCTAGATACATTCTCAAAAAAAGAAAAGAATTCTTGACACATAAAAATTTAAACCAAAGGAATTCTTCAAATTATTCCTCATTGCCTTTCTAACCAAATCGTGTGACGCCATGACAATGTTGAATGCTTTACTAGCATCAAGGTTTGTGTTAAGCTTATAATCCGTGTTTATATTTGTTTGTTTAAAACAAACATTTGGTGGAATCTAATGAGATAAATTTCATATTATTTCTTAATATATTGTGTTGCATAATGTTGAGTTTCCTTAGAAGCTTCCACCTGATAAAACTCTTACATGTATTAATCTTGTAAGATTTGTTGCTGTATCTTCTTGTGTCCCACTATGTCTTTTAAACTGCTTTTCTATGTTTTTTCGGGGACGGCTGAAATATATAATATTCGAAAGAATCTTGTATTTGATGCTTTAGCCTGTATATACCTGTTCAAGAGAAAGTCAGGCAATGACTTGATCCAATGTAAAAGTAAAGTACGAAGTCACGTCTTAGTATCTCTAGAAATGATTATGTTACAAGCTTGTTCAAAATTTTTATTTCCTAACTCTCTCTCTCTCTCTTTTGAGAAAAACCACATTTGTGTATTGAAGATATGCTTTAACGTATCGAGGTACCATATGTGTATGTTGGCTTTGACAGGATCTAAATAAAAAAAACTGTAACAAATATGGGTACATGTATGTCAACACATTCAAGAAGACTTAGGCCTCGAAAGAAAGGCCGTCACAGATTTTCCAAAAACATTTCGAAAGTCTCTGATATTATCTCTCATCCAGATATCAGGCGGGCAAGTGATGTCGGGATCCGAACCTCTTTTGGTGAGTATCATAAGGGAGAGAGTTGCGAAATTAATTTTCTTGTTTATACAGAAAAAAGGATAAATGATGAATGTTGGATTATGGGTTTTGTTTGCAGATATTTCCCAAAATGATGCGTGGTTTGATTCTTTAAGTATTTTCTCTGACTCAGATGATGACTTTATCAGCCTACATGAAGGTAAGTTTTTAAAATATGTTTAAAATGTTTGGTCGTTTTCATTTTTTGGGTATTGAGCATTTGATAAAGCATCTGATAATGTTTGGTCAGAGGGTGGCATAACGGGTCTTATCCCAAATGGTAAAGTGGTTCAGTTTGAGTCCTCTTCATGCATTGTTGATGGAAAAGGACATTACGAAGAATACCATGAGAGTTACTTGAAGATTGAAGGTTTATACAAAGATCCTAATGGTTTGTCTGTTATCACAACAAACAACAAGAAGAAACTATTGGACCATACTGTTGGAAGCTTTAAAGGTTTGAAGGAACAAGATAAAACATTGAAATCCAACATAAGCTGGTTGATGCCAACGGTTAGTTTTAACGACAAGGCTCTTAACTCGCCCACATCTCAGAAACGAAAGTCGTCAGTGTACCGGCTTTCATTCAAGAGGAGATCATGCGATGGTGAAGAAGTTACCGAAAATAGTAAGTATGTCAAGTTTTCTCAAAGTCTTACCGAGAATAGTAATTTTTAACACATATCGGTTTTTGTATAAAAGGGTCGTCCAAGAGATTGTTGTACCGTCCAAAAGCGGGATTCACCATTCCTTGTTTAGCCAAAGAGAAGCAGCAATCTTCAGGAAGTTGGTCTGAGATACCTCCTTCAAATTTTAAACTACGTGGTGAAACCTATTTCAAGTACTTCTCTTGTTTCTTTATACATGTATGTGCTTCAAATGATTTGATGTGGATTAGTGAACTTTTGAGGACTGTAATGAATTCGCAGAGATAAACGGAAATCACCGGCTCCAAATCAATGTCCATACACTCCAATTGGTGTTGACTTGTTTGTGTGTCCGAGGAAGATTGATCATATAGCTCAACACATCGAGCTTCCCAACATCAAAGCCGAGGCAAAGCTCCCTGCTCTTCTGATTGTCAACATTCAGGTAATAACCGCTAAAAAGTTCCATTAGATAAAAAAATGTGTTTTTTCATCAAGGCACTAATGAATCTTGGCTTGAAGCAGTTGCCAACTTATCCAGCCGCAATGTTTCTTGGTGATAGTAATGGGGAAGGCATGAGCATTGTACTTTACTTTAAATTACGTGACAATTACGAAAAAGAAATCTCTCAGCAATTCCAAGACAGCGTCATGGTTAACCATTTAAAGACCTAAAGACCATCCATTTCTTTTTACTTTCTTGTGAACTACGTAAGCATTGATTTTAGGGTTTGTTTGTAGAAACTAGTGGAAGATGAGATGGAGAAAGTTAAAGGGTTTGCAAAAGAAAACATTGTTGCGTTCCGCGAAAGGCTTAAAATCATAGCCGGATTAGTTAACCCAGAGGATCTAAGTCTTAGCTCCACTGAAAAGAAGCTTATACAAGCTTACAATGAAAAACCTGTCCTTTCACGTCCTCAACACAACTTCTTCAAGGTTTTTATTTACCTCTAAACTCTTTTCTAACGATAAATACCATTTGGTCGCCTAATCTGACCGGTTGGTGGGTTTGATCTCTCTCTCTATCCAGGGTCCTAATTACTTTGAGATTGATTTGGACGTTCATCGGTTTAGCTTCATTTCAAGAAAAGGGCTTGAAGCATTTCGAGATCGACTTAAAAATGGAACTCTTGATCTTGGTTTAACTATCCAGGTAATGCATGTTTCGGTTATCATCTTTTAATAGACACTATTTGTTGTTGAAGAATGCAGAGAATAAATAAGTTGTCTTTGTAAATTAGGCTCAAAAACCAGAGGAGTTGCCAGAAAAAGTCTTATGCTGTTTAAGGTTAAGCAAGATTGACTTCGTTGACCATGGTCAAATCCCTACGCTTTTAATCCCTGAAAAAGAAGAATCTTTTGTTTGAACAAAGTGGTCTTGATCGATCATCTAAAAGTAAAACCAGAAAATTCTGAAAACTTTTCACCAAAATCCTTGTGCATTGTAGAGTTGTGTATTGTCCTGCATATGCTGTAACATTACTATAGTATTTTTTTCATCTATAATCACAAATTGTAACACCTAAAAGCCATCTTCTAGAGTTTTTTTATCATCCATTTTTTTTTTCTGTGGGAGGATCTATTTCTATCTTAAGATTACTCAATAAAATTATTTTTTTTCACTAGACAGTCTGTTTTTGAGGACATCATGAGTCACTTCTTTCTTTTTTTAATTAAAACTTAACTATCTAATTAAATTATATTAAAATATTATTATTTTAATTGTTAAAATTTTTTGAAAAAGTTTAAGCAATGTAAATGCTCTTAGATTTCTTAAGCACTGTATCTATATTCGATTTACGATCATACAGTCATAAAATCTCCAAAGATATCAAAATGGTGATTTTGAACAAGTGGCAGTTTTACTCAAACTCTTCTCCGACAATAAAGAACCAGACAACCCCAAGAGCTTGAAACTCCTTCCATCGCCGGCGATTAACCCCGACGTCGTCCGAGTCATAATGTGAATTCACTCGAGAAAACATCCAAACTCTTCGAAAGGGGCTCATGAGAGAATTGTTTTCCTCCTCGTTCCCAAAGGAGCTTCGATTGTCAATGTTTATGGTTACTTACTCTTACATTTTAACTTGCATAATCAGATCTCGAGGCGGAGACCCAAATAGACCGGGTACAGATTTGCGGTGGATTGTTGACGCCTCGTAAATCGGTCGATGTTATTGAAGTGTTGCTGACTAACTTGAAAACATGTTGGAACAAAACGTGTTACAATGTTTTTGACATATGAAGCAGAGACATAAGGATAATGTTAATACATACTCTGAAACAGTATGTAGTACTTGATATAAAGGCTCATAGAGCATCGCTGCCTGATGTTGTGATGGAATTAAGGTCCAACAGATCTCGTGTGGAAGCAGATTGATAACACAGTTAAAATGTAAATCTATGGTACCATCTCTGAATTCCTTATCAATTCAGTTCTGAAAACACAATCCTCCGCTCATGAACTTTGACTCTCACTTGAGAATCTGTTCTGTGATAACAAAGAAGCTCGTGCAATTTAATTGGAAAACGAACTCTGCAACCTCACGATTAGAGATCTCTCGGTTCATGACCACTGTCAAAAGCTCAAGAAAATCTCGGATACGCTAGCAAACGTGGAGTCTCCAATCAGCGACAGAGCCATAGTCATGCATCTTTTCATCGGTCTCAGCTCCAAATTTGACAACATCATCAATGTCACCAAACATCGATCACCACCATGTTCATTTGGCGATGCCAGATCAATGCTTATCGATGAAGAATCCAGAATCAACACCAAACGCAACACCATCGCCAACAATGACGATAATGCTTCAACTCCTTAACTCCTCTTCGCAACAACACCTCACACAACATTGCATTCACCTGATCTCTCTAACCATCGCACCTACAACAATAATTACACCAATTACAGAGGAGGGCATCATAATAACAAAGGCCATCGCGGATGTCAGGGACGGGGACGCAACAACTACAATCATAATTGGAACCCTCACCAATCGACTCCACCACTGTGGCTTTGGGAACAACAACAACAACAACAACAGCAACCACCCGTCTGGCCACCACAAATCTGGCAACATCCGCAACATCAAAATCAGCCTCCATACTCTTCTGCTCAACCTAGAATTCTCGGAGCAACGCCTCATCAGCAACGTAGTGCTGCTTATCTCACTCAGACCTCTCAGCCACTTTCGCAAGGAGCATTGCATCAGGAATACATTCAAACTACCCTTGCTAGTGCCTTCAAAACAATGACTTTGCAGGACCCTACTGATTCAAGCTGGTATATGGACACCGGAGCCACTGCTCATCTCATATCTCAACCACGTATGCTCTCTATTCTCCCTTCATCTCCCTCATCGATGTCTTCCCTTCCCTTAAGCACAGTTAGCAATGGATCTCACTTAACTGCAACAGCTAAATGGAATACAACAATAGGCACCCATTCTCGTCCTCTCCATCTTCAAAACGTTTTTCTTTTCCCTGGCATTTTAAAATAAATCTTGTTTCCGTCCGTCAGGTTACTAACGATAACTTATGCTCTGTTGAATTTGACCCTTTCAGTTTTCTTATAAAGGACCTTCAAACTCGCACTCCTTTGCTCTGATGTAATAGCAATGGTCCCCTCTACTCTATAACTTCTCCGTCCTCTCAGTCTCCCCATGCTCTCATTTCCACAGCTCTCTCTCCTTCAATTTGGCATTGTCGTCTCGGTCACACTGGTCACTCAACACTTCACTTTTTAGTTTCTTCTGACATTTTTAAATGTTCAAAACCGGATATGTCTCCCTTATGTCATCTCTGTCAACTTGGGAAACATACTTGACAACCGTTTTCCTCTTCCATATCTCAAGTTTTTTCACCACTCGGTATTGTACACTCTGATATTTGGACATCTCCAGTCCTAAGTGTTAGTGGAATATGTATTATGTCATCTTTTGGGATCAATTTAGTCATTTTCTTTGGGTCTATCCTTTACGACAAAAGAGTGAAGTCTTTCAAAAAAAATTATCCTCAAAATCAATTTGACAAAACAATCAAAGCTTTTCAATGCGACAATGGTGGTGAGTACACCAGTCGCGAATTTCAGAATTTTATTTCCTCTCATGGTATTCAATCTTGCTTCTCCTATCCTCACACCTCTCAGCAAAATGGAGGTGCTGAAAGAATACTTCGCACACTCAACAATCTTATTTGTGTTCTTTTCCAAGCTCATACGCCTCCTTCCTATTGGGTTGAAGCTCTCCATATGGCAACACAAATTTTCAACATTCTTCCTTCTTCAGCCATAAACAATGAAATCCCATTCACTCGCCTATTTCACAAACCTGTCTCTTACGATCACCTTCGAATTTTTGGTTGCCTTTGTTATCATAATCTTCTCCCTACTTCCATCCACAAACTCGCTCCTCGTTCTGTAAAATGTGTCTTCCTAGGATATCCTAACAATTATCGTGGATATATATGCTTAGATCTTCAAACAAAACGAATAATCTTGTCCCGCCATGTCGTCATTGACGAACAGGTCTTCCCCTTTCAAACTCATGATCCTCAACTCTCCTCGTCATCTTCAAACCTTCAACACAATTCTTATCCTCTTCTTCACTCTCTTACTACTTCGAACCCTCCAATTCCACCAACTACTTCTCTTGTCTCTTTACCTTCTCTGGCAAATACATCCATCTCTCCTCTCATCAATTACCAAACATCTACTAACCCGTCATGGAATCTCTGTTTCCACTATACCATCATCATCATCATCATCTGATCCTCATATTTTGACACTCCCTTCCACTACTAATATCCCATCCCAACGAATAAGAACTCGACATCGTACCACTTCTACTACTCTCCCCTCTCAAAGAATCCACACACGAAGTTGTAGTGGAATCACTAAAAAGAAAGCAATTGTTTCTCTTCACACTGATACAATTTCTCATCATCCTCTTTCTCATGTCCAAGCTGCAAAAGATGAATTTTGGGACAAAGGCATGAATGTTGTATATGATACACTTATTAATAGAGGCACATGGACAATTGTCCCACGGCCCTTAAACACTAATATCGTGCATTCTATGTGGCTATTTCGAAATAAGCTCAATGCAGATGGTTCCCTCTCTCGCTACAAAGCTTGCCTCACTGCCAACGGCAAATCTCAACTAATCGGTATTGACTGTGATGAAACATTCAGCCCCGTCATCAAACCAGCAACAATATGCACTGTCCTCCATGTAGCTGTCTCCATGCAATGGCTTATGCATCAACAAGATGTCCATACGGCGACCTCGACGAAATAGTTTACATGCATCAACCCCCTGGATTCGTTGATCGGACTTGACCTGACCATGTCTACCTTCTCAAAAAATCACTTTACGGCCTTAACAAGCCCCTCGCGCCTGGTATCAATGTTTTGCCACATTTGCCACCAAAATAGGTTTCAAACTAAGAAAATCGGATGCATCTCTATCTGTTCTCCATCGTAGGAAAGAACTCGCTTATCTACTACTCTATGTTGACGACATTGGCCTTACAACTTCCTCCACAACTCTATTAAGGTCGATCATAACATCTCTCAACTCTGAATTTTCCATGACTGATTTAGGCATACTTCACTATTTTCTTGGCATTGCTATTCACAGGAACAGCATGGGAATGTTCTTAAGCTAACAAAACTATGCTGCAGACATCATCCATCGAGCAGGAATGACAAACTGTAACGCTTGTTCAACACCAGCCGATATATCATCCAAGGTTCCTGAGAATGTAGGACCTCCTATCGCAGACCCAACCCTATACTGCAGCCTTGCAGGTGCCCTGCAATACCTCACATTCACTAGACCAGACATAGTCTATTCTGTTCAACAAATCTGCCTTCATATGCATGACCCTCGAGAGCCCCATCTCAATACTCTCAAACGCATCATCAGCTACATCAAACCAACAACAATCTCTAAGATCACAGCCTACACTGATGCTGATTGGGTGGGATGTACCACTACTTGCCGATCCACGTCTGGTTACTATATCTTCCTTGGCAACAATCTAGTATCATGGTCATCAAAGCGTCAACCAACCGTATCTCGCTCAAGTGCTGAAGCCGAGCATCGTGGCGTTGCTAACGCCGTAGCTGAAACAACGTTGCTGCAAAACCTTCTCCTCGAACTCTACTGTCCAATCACCACTGCCACGACTGTGTATTGTGACAACGTCAGCGCTGTCTACCTATCAACCAACCCAGTCCAACACCAACACACCAAACATGTGGAAATCGATATTCACTTTATCTGTGAACATGTTGCACTTGGTGATGTTCATGTCCTTCATGTCCCTTCTGCACACCAATACACAGACATCTTTGCTAAAGGCCTCCCCAACTCCCTCTTTACAAGCTTTCGATCCAGTTTAAACGTTTAACCACCTTACGCTACGACTGCGGGAGAGTGATAGAATTGGAAACACAATAATAAAATTATTATTACATATATGCTGTAATTACTCTAATTGATTGACCAAAATATGATTTTCATACTATATATTGATAATACAATACAGAGAGAGGCACCATTTGAGATTATCAGTTAACAGCTATTACTCTAAAAATAACAAAACTCAAATCTATAGATCTTAGAGCATCCACAACGCTATAGATACTCTCAATCATATCTTACATATTAAATACTAATATATTTTCTTTATTTAATTAATTTTTAAATTGTAAAAGAAATCAACTAATAATTAATAGACACATGTAAAATCTGTTTCTTATTATCTTGCCAAAAGTTTCCAAAATCCTTTGTTTAAGAGTCGATTTTCTTCTCTCACTTACTTTTTTTATTTTTTTCAATTTTTTTATTAACAAAAACTTCTGTTAAGAAACAGCATTGAACATTGTCTTAGATCTGATACCATGATAAATTTGGAGAGTACCTAATAAAAATAATAGTTAATTTTGTCTTTATTCAATAGGTTTATTTATACAAACTCTATAATTTAATTTAGCAAATTCTTTACATATTTAATATAAGAAATCTACTTACTTATTTAACAGTAAAGTAATATACACATTAATATTAACTTTCCTAATAACAATAACAAAATATGTCGATCTCGTCATCCTGAAATCTCCCAATAAACCTTGCAGATGAATCAACCGGCAGTGCAATTGAAAAGCATCTCTCAAACATATTAGCTCTCCCTAATAAGCTTCTCTTCACTTCTCCAGGCAAGCAGAATATCTCTACCAGTACATATCACTTTGCACGCTGCGGAGGAGAAGAGAGCAGATTAAGTATAAGCAGAGGAACGAAAGTTAAATATGACGAGGCATGAACTACTAACTAGTTTCCATACGTTGAAAGACAAGTATGAGGAACTAGTAACTAGTTTCGATACGTAGACAGAGAAGCAGGATCCGCCGATCAGAATGGTTGTATCCTCCACCATCGACGGTGTACAAGGAGCTTTCATGTGGATTGTAGCCCACAAAATGTCTCAGGCCGCCTTTGGTTCGCAAACTATGGTCTAAACCCTAACACCCCCATGCATCTTCGATTATATGTATGTTCTATTTGATTTTGTAATTGATGTGTGTGAATCTCGACATAGTCTCTTGCGGGTGGGCTATGGGTCCTAGCCTGGAATTGTGCTGCCGTAACCGGTATGAGTTCTGTAATTATGTCCATAATAGAAGATATGTGAGGCAAACCTGATCTTTTGTCATTGTAAGTTCATTTCCAACACATTAATTTGAGTTACTACTAAATATTCTAACCATGAACCACCTCTCTTATATAGCTGCATGCCCGTTAAAGAATCTATATATAACAGTTGTGCTCATCTCTTTTCTCATCACTAATCTCACTGGGACAAATTCTTAACTTTGCAGCGTATTAGCGGGAGTAGGAGCTGGATCATTAACACATTCTTTGCTGACCCAACGCCCGTTAAGACATTATTGGGTGGTGCATGGCTTGTCAAGACAACCAACCAAAGAAGAAATCGCCTGTTGCCTTGGTTTTGGTGCTCTCTACGGAACAGGTTTTAAGGTAAGCCCTTTTACATTTAGTAGATCATATTGTATTAATTTATCATACACAAATCATCTCTTCTTAATTTACCCATTTTCCCCTCAGTTGATAGAAAAATATATACCGACCTCCACCACCGACTACACACGTATGTCCATAATGGAACATACTCCAGGCAAACCTGATCCTATGTCAGTGTAAGTTCAATTCTAACTGCTAAATATTTTAACCATGAACCATCTCTCTTTTATAGCTGCATGCCCGTTAAAGAATCTATAACAATCAATTGTGCTCATCTCTGGTCTCATCACTTATCTCTGGACAAATACTTAACTTTGCAGCATAGTAGCGGGATCAGGAGCTGGATACACACTTTATTTGCTGACCCAACGCGCAGTAATACATTCTTGGCTGGAGCAAGGCTTGTTCGGACAACCTAACAAGGACGCACTAGCCTGTTGCCTTGGTTTTGCTGCTCTCTGTGGACTAGGTTTTAAGGTAAATCCCTTTACAATAACTAGATCATATTGTTAACTGTATTCATTAATCATACAAAAGCATACAAAATTATATACCGACTACACACGTTCAAGAACCGTACTATTAAAGCTAAGGTCTAGAAAAATTTGTGAAGAATTTCAAGAATGGACTTGTAACAGATTCCGCCTTACCTCACCTCACCCATGAGTATGTGTTTATGTAGCTAGTACATTAATGTCTTGCATCCCCTTTTGTATTCTAACTAGGTCACTAAAAGAAGTGGGCATCCCACCCGGTGCAAGGCTTCGGATACTAGATCATATCCAGAGGTTTGAATCCAATTTCACCAAAAAAAATTCATAAAAGATATGTTTCCTCCTTTGTCTCAGTTTACCAAATAAAGACGATTGGGTATTTCTTATAATGTGGTTATCAAAGCTAGTTTATGTCATACCTTTATGTAAAAGAAAAAATGTCACAATCCAATGAATTACAAAATTACCAAAAAACATGTAAAGAAAATAGCTATGCAAATTGTTTGTACAAACAAGAAGGGATCATATAGGAAGCCTGTGAAGAACCCTCTTTTGGTTTGTAACTGTGCAGTAAAAGAATGAATCAAGCAAATCAGCTTATCAGTAAAGAATGTTTTTTAGATGAAAAAAAGAATGCAAACAGAGTGTGTCTCCTTCAAGATGAAGCTCAGAAGTCGATCGTGCTTTTATGGATCACTGCTCTTCGTCAAACGGCTTATCTCTTCTTCTAGCTGCAACCATTTTAGGAACCCTTTATAAATAAAAGAAGACGATGATGATGATGGATGGTATGTGACAGTGACTGTGGCTATCTTTACCTCAGCGTTTGCTTTTTTCTGGTTCTCGACCTCCTCTTTAAGCTTCTCCACACTGTAGAATTTTGATACCATTGAATCAATCAACCATTTTGTCTCCAAAATATATTCTTAAGCTTGTAAAGTTATCTCATTACCTCTGCTCCAAGAAGTGAACCTCAGACAGTAGATCAGTCTCCGTTGCTATCTGTGAATTTCAGAACTTAAAAGGCTCTTACTTCTTTCCTCAAACCAACTTCCTCTTTATGTCATTAGCAAAACGAGAAGCAAAACCCAACCTGCTCGCCTTCGATTGCATTTCTGTCTTCTGCACAAACCAAAATCCTAATCAATGAAACTCGTAAAACAGAGAATATGCAAAACAAAACTCTGCTTACACAAGAGAAAACTAACCAGCAGCAGATGGATCATACAGTTGAATTAATCCGAGTAATCTTTCCTGCCAAGCACACAGCACCCAGAAGATGAAAAATCCAATTCCACAACAACAAACAATTATGAACAAGAAGCGTTTTCAAATGGCAATATATATACCCTTTGGATTTCATTGCTGAGCAGGAGATTCTGTAGCAAAGGGAGGATCTGAGCAGCATCGCTAGGCAAAGTATTCAAAGATGCTGAAGAAATAAACTTTATCTCACTTCAAAGGGATTGCAAGTAAGGACCATACGAAAATTTATATTTCATCAAAATCTTTTAGATTACCGAGTTGTTTTCTGCATCAAGTGGCTCTTCTTCTTCAGAAATAGGACGAACAGCATCATCGCCAACATTCTCAGAAAGCTCATCAACTTTCGCATCCGATGAATCTGTAATTTCACCTAATACATGCAGAGTTTCAATAAAAAAAGGACGAGACGATAATCGTAAGAGAGTATAATAGTTTTCTTCTCCGATCAAAACTCTACTCAAACCATATATACAGTAACCGTAATAATTTGGAATTCCTTAAAATCCAAATTCCCAAGAAACAAAATCCGAAATCGAATCTAATAGTTTTGCGTAGTTCATGCAGAAAATCAATACTGATTTTACACAAGACGAGAAGATAACCGTACGAGAGTAATAGTTTTCTCCGATCAAAACTCTAACTCAAACCTTATATACAGTAACCGCAATAACGCACTCAAGTTTCGAATTCCTCAAAATCCAAATTCCCAAGAACACCGAGATCTTTCTAGCAAATGTAAACGATACCGGAGAAAAGAATCGTAGCGAGAAATCGAACCTAGATTTTCCTCAGTTGACGACATTGCGAAACACGGCGAGTCACGATCAGCGATACGGCCCCTGGAGCGGTGCCGGTGAGAGCGCGACAGACGACGCTACTAAAGAGAGAGAGAAGTGGAAGGAAGAAGGCGGAGGAGTGAAAGTCCGTTCACGAATCGCCGTCGAACAGAAGAAGAAATCGATCGCTCTCGGACTTTGTGAAAGTGAAAAGATCGGAAAACTTGGAGAGACTGAAAAAGTTTGTTAGTAGAGAGAGAGCGGACGTGAAAGAAAAGTTTCTAATGATTTTCAACTTCCCTCTAATCGAATTTTAGCGGACTTGAAATCCGAATTTCAATGGGGATTGACGGATTTGCCCTTATATAGTTATGAGTCTTGTATAAAACCCGCTTCTTCAATTGAATAACCAAGCGGTCGCTAAGTCTGACCGGTTTCGGTTTGGCTATCCAGGATCCTAATTCCTAATTAATTTGGACATTCATCGGTTTAGCTTCATTTCAGGTAAAATGCTTCTGTTATCATCTTTTAATAGACATTATTTGACATTTGTTGTTCAAGAATTTAAAACCTATTTATGTAAAAAGGCTCAAAAACAAGAGTTACTAGAAGAAAAAGAAAAAAAAAAGGCTGAGCAAGATTGACTTCGTCAAATCTCAAATCTCTACGCTTTTAATCCTTGAAAAAGAAGAATCTTTTGTTTGCACCAGAAAAATCTGAAAACTTTTCACCGAAATTCTTGTGCATTGAAGAGTTGTGTATTATTGTCTACAAATGTTGTAACATTACTACAAATTGTAACACGTAAAAGCCATCTTCTAGACTTTTTTTTTCATCCATATATTCACTGGGATGATCTTTCTAGCTTAAGATTACTGAATAAAGTTCTCCTTTTCAACAGACACTCTGTTCTTGAGTACATCAACATACCCAACGTCAACGAAACGAATTTATTATTACCATTAAACTGTCTTCATCGTATCATTGAAGCTCGTTAGATGAAGAAACATAACTTAAAAACAAAATATAATATTAGATAAGAGATCTCTTTCGATCTTAGTCTTGAATCTTGCTATTCGAAATCACTTCAAAGGATATGCCATTGTCTTCAAGTCGCTTCTGGATATCAGTTGAACCAAACACGATGCCTGGTGTGTAGACTCCTCCTTTAACCAGGCTTTCACGTTGGCTCAAGACAATCAAACCGCATTGAACAAGTGTTATAGGAGTGGTTATATACCCAACCTCAGGTCCTGAGATTCTTGTAATGATCTCCATGTCAGGCTTTGTCTTTCCTTGTGAAACAAGTCTCTCTTCGCTGTAGCCACGACCTATGAACCACATCTTAAACGTAGCGCTCTCTACCTCTTCTTCACTTGGACCTTTCTTCTTGAACCAACCAAGGCTAAAAACAGAAGGGAACTTCAAAAGAAGCCATCTTCCAAAGGAGAACTTGGAAAGTAGACCAAGGGAGACTCCAAGTGTAACATATCTGAATATCCCAAAGAGAGACTTGGATGTTATCTTCACACCAAAATGAGCTGGTTGGATCGTTGACCAGAACGCTTCTCTCTTTTGCATCTTGTCCGGACTCTCGTTAAGCCCAGGAAGCCCACGTGGTTTCTCTGTTAGAGTTGTGAAAGTTCTACGTACAACTGCTGCATCAGGAGAAGGTAGAAACAAAGCCCAAAGACCAATCTTCTTCTTGTTTTCCATTATTGTTCCTTTAGCTTGTGGACCAAGTATCTTGCAAAAATACATTCAGAAGTTTGATATTAGCTAATCTCCATCTCGAGTAGGATTTGTTATAATGTCACATATACTTACCGATGGACTAGGCCTTCTTGTTCTTGAACGTCTGAGTTCTTTAAGCTTTTTTCTGTCACTTGCACCTAAAACCGCAGACTCATAAGTCCCAAAGTTTACAACAATATTTTTGTGGGACTCGACGCTGAGGTATGCTTGGACCTGGTTAGGAACCGATGGAGGCAACCATTGTTTGGAGTTGAAGAGAAGACCCAATTCAGCAGGAACTGAATCGAAGCCACAAGCAGAAACGATTAATGAGCCGGTCTCTTGTGCTCTTTCGTGGTAGTTAGCTTCTATTCTCTCCATGAACTCAGGTTCACCACTTATATCCAAATAGTCACACCTATAGCAAGAAACCTAACAAGATTACACTGTTTGCATCAAAGCTATAACTTTATTCATTCCTTAAATCTGATCAGAGATTAAAACGTAACATGCAGAAAGCTTTCGTTCGATATTTTCTCTTACAAGAATCATATGTCCCTACATCCAAATTATCGAACCATTTAGTGTATCGAACGAAACTTATCAATACTACACTTTTTTGCATCAGTTCTTAAATTAACTTCTTTGATAAAATTTTAAAACCATTCCTTCGAATTTGATAACAGAAAATTTTTTCTTCTGTATTTTGATATTTTCTATTAAGTATTGATTATTATCTTATCATTTGTCAAGATTCAAGAACTCGACGACAACTCTGAAACAGAGCTCAGATGTCAACAATATGTAACAGATTTCAATATGTAACTAACATTTGCGAAAACAGAGGAAAATACGATTTTACCCTGAATCGACACAAGCGGCGACAACAGGCTCGCCATGGATACTAAACGGTCCAACACAATTGAGGATGAGTTTGGACTGACTACAGAGACGGCGAAGTGAACCAGTGTCGGATGTATCAGCAGTGAGGATAGCTACGGAGGAAGGAGGCGGGTTCGGGCGGGCTGCCCATTCGAGAGATTGGGTTACCCGGGTCGGGTGACGACCCGCTAAAGCTAGGGTCTTTAACGGAGAAGATGGAGTCTGGAGGAACTTGAGAGCTTCTCGGACGACGTATTTGCCGGTAAATCCGGATGCTCCGAGTATGACGATATCGTAAACCGGGCCGGATTTTTGGGTTGGATCCATCGTGATTCAGATTCGTATAAACTTCTTAAGGAGATATATATTTGCGCGAGAAACTCTTTAAGGTGTTGTCGTGTGTTACACGTCATTGTCGTACAAATAAAGACTTTACGTAAGCGTTATAATCAATACAAAAATATTTCATGAATGGAGTATAAAACGGAAAACTTCTCTTTAACGCTTCAACAATTCTACAGTTGTATCGATTAGAGTCATAATAATTTGACTTGACTTGCGTAATATGTGCCATGTGATGCAATTCATTAATGTTTGTATTATTTTCTTTTATAAAAACATTAATGTTTATATTATTGTGAAGAAGAGAAGGTAAAAACTTCTTCTCATAATGTTTCTATGATATTATTGGAACTGCAACGACAAGACTATTTATTAATCTTAATCGATTTGGTCTAAACTACTTTGGGATTGATTTGGAAGTGCATCGGTTTAGCTACATTTCAAGGAAAGGGTTTTAAGCATTTAGAGATCAACTTAAAATGGAGTTTTTGTTATCTCTGTTTAACCATCTAGGTGATATTTCTGTTATCACGTTTGAGAATTAAAGAGTTTTTTTGGTAAATAGGCTGAACAACCAAATTTACCAGAATTGTTTTTAAGTATTGTGTCGTCTAAGGCTGCGCAAGAATGACCTCGTTGATGATATTGACAATGATCCATCATACATCGGTGGAAAATTCTTCAACGAATACCAAATTTCTAATGATTATGCATGATCCTATATTTTGCATCCAAAATATCTATTTTTCTTTTAAATGACCTTAATCCTGAAAAGCAAAGTAGAGTAATTTTTTTTTTAAAATCTTTTTTTTTTACTCGATATGATATCTTAACTTATAAACTGGTTATTATATGTTCAGCTAACAACTTTTAGAAACTTTGCTACTGTAATACGAACCTTTAATAATTATGAAAATTATCTTCCAAAAAAAACCACTTGAATGGGGGAAAATGCCTACAAACGTTTTGTTATATACGTAGTTTTTTTCCCTATCACATTGTAACATCATAAAACGAAGATGGCTCAGAAACATTTTGGGAGTTTATCGGAATTCACAAATTTTCCGAAATGTTTCTTTTTCTTTTCCCTCTCTTTTGTCTAACAACGATGAAAAGTGGACTTTTGTCTTCTCGGTAGTTTAACTTCCCGGTTTATCTGTCCTTATGTTCTGTCAAAAAGAAAAACCAAAACTGGTTTACTGAATGAGAACAGATCTGGTTTATTTTTTTGGTTATTAACTATATTTACCCCTTTGGAAGTGAGATTTTCTGACAGCGTGCCGGATATTACTTTCATTCCTTTGCAAAATTTCGTTGATCTTGCCTGATTTAAAAATCAACGGTCCTGATGTGCTCTGTTTTCCAAATTGTAGATGCTCCTACAACCCCAACAATCACAAGCATTTAACTTCAAATACATTTATAAAACGTATTGCTAAAAAAAAATGTGCCAAATCGGGTTCAACTCCTCGGGTCAAGATTTTGACATCTCTACATGAAATGAATTTTAAAGTTCATTATGGATTTAACAAGAGTACTTACCAAATTTTTCTTTAATGGAGAATCCTCCTCTCTTTGGCTGAAATCCAAACTAGACCCATCAAGTGATCCGTGCCGTTCACCAATACGGCTAAGCTTGCCCTCACTTGGTACCTCCTCCATAATCTGATCATCGTTATCTGCCTGAATTTCCCAGACTGAGTCATTGTCTGGTTTAAGGTTCAAACCGAAAGTGTTCTTGGCAAAAGCAACACTTGTTTCGCTCAACTGGCTCCTTGAGCTTGGTTGATAGTAGGTAAGAGTGGAGATATTATCAGGATCTTTCCGTCTTTTCACCGCCCACGCAAAACCGCTTGCCGGTCCTGTGGTCATTGGGAGGTCAGTGACCTTGTAGTAGTTTCCATGTGTTGTTGTTGTGGCTCGAGATGCCTCATTTGGAATGATCTTATCCTCAAACGTGTCCTGCACGTCAAAGCCTTACTTGATACCCAAGAAACAAAACTGAAAGAGGATTTTTGAGAGAGAGAGAGAGAGAGAGAGAGAGAGAGAGAGAGAGAGAGAGAGAAAGAGAGAGAAAAAAAACCTGTCTTATTGGCAGCTTAGCGTAACTCTTTGGATCGTGTTCTATTCTATGTGGTCTTTTGTGTCTCCTACCGACTCCTGAATCTCGAAGCTTGAGGTTTGCTCTTTTCCTACAAAAGCATATGCATTCATAGTTTTGAGACATACTCCTTCCTAAAAAAAGACCAGAGTCTTGCAATGTGCAAGATAAGAATTCTGACCTGCGCATCTCATCGCGATTTTTAGCATCCATTTCTTTGTTTGGTGGATATTTAGGCAATGTAGAAGGATCACACGCATAAGGCCTCGTCAAGAAATACTAATATATAAGCAAAAAAAATCAGAAAAAAAAAAAAAAAAAAAAAAAACTGAGAGGTGAAAGAGAAACTGAGAGTAAAGTTTCACCTCGGAATTAAGTGCAGATGAGGCAGTGCCACGCTTGTCTGGTTCCATTGAGAGTAAAGTTTCTAATAGAAAAACACCAGTCGTTGATAACTCTTGGCATCGTTCTCTGAGTGTGGCTTCATAAGTATGTTGAGGCCTAAAGGAAGTTGCGTGTGGAAGCTTAGTTCTTTTCCAGAAACTATCCTGCGGAGATCCACAAAGCTTGTAGATTTTATGCAATTGTTCAATCTGCATGACCAAAAGCAAAAACATAAATTAGTGAAAAGACATCTAGACACAACACAAGTTATATAAGAGTTCTTCATGTGCAAGATATAAGATATTTGTAATAGTATATAATCCGTTTTGATAGTTAAAAAGACTAATAATCTTCTAAAAACTAAGAAACAAAAGCTAAATGAATAATTCGGTTTATGTTAGTGATGGCTTTTTGCGGTTTATGTAAAGGCTAAGATTGGTTTACCTCGGTTCTGCCTTTTAGGATTGGTTTTCCCATGAGAACCTCAGCAAAAACACATCCCACACTCCATAAATCGATTGATACTCCATAACTGGTAGATCCCATAAGAAGCTCAGGAGCTCGATACCATAAAGTCACCACACGGCTTGTCAAATTGTGTCTGTTCTTATGTGTGACTACATTCGCTAGCCCAAAGTCTCCAAGCTTTAAAACTCCTTTGTTATTCACCAAAATGTTCGATGCCTTAATGTCTCTATGTATTACTCCTCGCATATGACAATGCTCTAGTCCCCAAAGTAGTTGCTTCATGTAACATTTGATCTTGTATACAAGAATCAAAGAGAAAGAATCTCAATAATCCACTGTCAGAGAAAAAAACACACAAACTTTATTGGTTTACACACAAGACTTTTGGTTTTGTACCTGTGACTCGGTGAATCTGATGTCGGGATTCGAGGATAAACCGGCAAGATCATGTTCCATATACTCAAAAACAAGATAAATGCTACTCGACGTACGAGACGTGACTATACCCTCAAGTTTCATGATGTTAGGATGATTGAGTTTGCGTAGAATCAAAATCTCTCTTGCCATAAACCTAATGCTCTCTGGTTGAAGATTATCAAACTTTACCTTCTTCAAAGCCACCATCTTCCCGGTTGCTACTTCCCTTGCTCGAAACACGCTACTATATGTTCCTTGTCCAATCTACAACACAAACGAAATTCATCAATCCTTTCTATTTAAGGGTTTGGTGGTAACTTCCTTCACAAGAAACCATATGGTTACCTTCTCCAACTTCTGGAACGCCTCTGCCTTCAAAGGAACCCAACCTTGGACAGCCTCCGACGCAACCGAGCAGAGCCAAGCCGGCCAACCAGCAGCTGCTTGCTCAGCCTCGACGTTCCTATGAGACAATCCGGAACTAAGGCTCACACCAATCCTCAAATCAGAACCGCCTGATCTTTTCGATTTCCTTGAACGCCGGCTATTGTGACTCGCCTCCAATGAATGATCAACAAAAGCTCGATGTTGCTGGTTCGTGGAGGAGAAGTCATGTTCGAAGGCGTTTTCTTGGACCGGTGAGGGACTCTGGTCCGTTAGACATGAGACGTTCTTGGAGCTGATGCAACCCATTTTAAGAGATGATTTGTTTCCTGATTCGGAAACGGGTCTAATAGTGGGGAATCAACCCCTCATTAGGCCAAAAAGATGAAATGGGATTGCAGACAAAAGAACAAAGAACAAAGATGCAAAAAAAAGGAGGGAAAGAGAAAAGAAAAAAGAAATATTAATCACATGACAAAATTATTGAAAGAAAAAAAGGAAACTTTTTTTTTCGTTGAGTCTTCTTCTGAAAGAGAGGTAAGGGAAGCTGCAAAACACAACCGCATAAACAGCAAGAGAGAGAGAATCGTGGGACCAAAATTGGGTAGTAGTCTTTTATTTTTCTCTTTCTTGTGTTTGCAAGAAAGAGAGAGAAAGTGAAAAAGAGACATATATAGCTTTGTTACCTTCACCATTTTTTTTTGCCTCTTTCACCTGTCTGACAGAGAGAGAAATCAAATCTGTTGGTGATAGAGAAGACCTAACCAACAGATTAAAACCTAAGAAACAAATTAAGGTGGATTAGTTAAATTAATCTATCCCAAGTTGTTCAGATGTCTTAACAAAAAACAGAGTTCTCAAAAGGAAATCATCACAACCCTAAATATCTTCTATGTACAAAACAAACAGATCTCAAAAGGTCTAAGACGACCAGAAGGTGGGGCTACTAAGTACCAAAGCTTATTAAAGTTGTACAATGATAATTGTTGGTCAAGTGACAAGTTCATTACTTTAAAGGGTCTTCTTCATTCAAAAGAGACTTTAGTTTTATACGATTTAAGCAGCAGAAAAAGAAATGTATATTTATTCATGCATTTTCCTCTTTTATTAAAGGCTTAAAGCTTAAAATATTTGATAGTTTTTTGCGTAACGGATACATTTGATAGTTTATATCTATAGAGGGGACATCAATAGAAGTACCACTACATTATACATACATTTCTGATAGTTCAAGAACACACCTGATTGAAACTTTTGCGAATATAGAGCACACTGCTTGTAATATCTCTCAAATTTGATGTTGGACACACCTGATTAAAGATCGTTCAAAACAAAAGAAGCTAATAGAATTTATCACCTGAAAATTAGGAACGTCTACTATATATATTGTTAACATACTCTAGTTTTCATGTACCACAAGAATATAGGTTTCAGAGAGCATTGCACCATAATCTATTTTGCATCATCATGCAACGAAGAAAAACCATTTGAATTATTCATATAAAACTACATGTGTCAATATCATATGTGTGTATATATATAATTGATTTTTTGCTTTTGATTTAGAGAGAGAGAGAGAGACACACACATGGCAAGAAATGTTCATAAACCTAATGAACAACGCCCAACCTTTGATGAGTTGCCGACAGAACTAATTAAAGCTCTTTGCATTAGACACTAACACAAGGCTAATCAAAATTACACTCATGCTAATTAATTAGCATCTAAATATCTAATGGAATGTTAAACGATCCTTGGTACTAATACATCTCTGGATTTCATAATATTGTTATCATTCTCCAAATCCATTGGACAAGTTTTTTGGTCTTAACAGTATTCACAGCTCTTCATTATGCCCTAAAAGCAAATAACATCATCTTATTAATTAGGATATCATATCCTATATGGTATATAATCACATCCCACATATTTAGGGACTCAATCAATCTATAACTCCGAAACGAACTTCGCAAATCTTGAAATTACTCACCAGCTGATATTCTACTAAATTGAACATATTGGCCTCTTGCATTTTGTACTCTACGCATTTTTGATACCTCCTTTTATATCATTTAGCACATAGTTCGCATTGCGTGCCGTTTAATTTTCTTGTGCTAAATGTGAAACAACGTGTAGTTGTAGTGTGATTACAGTGACGTGTGTAATCAATATTGTTGTCGTCGTTGTCGGTGGACACAAACCTCCGTAAAAACTTTCTAGCACAAAAGATCTTTCTCCAAGCCAAAACTTTCTCCGTCTCCGAATCCGATCAACACGATGGATCCAGCCCAACAATCCGACCCGGTTTACGATATCGTCATACTCGGAGCATCCGGATTTACCGGCAAATACGTCGTCCGAGAAGCTCTAAAGTTCCTCCAGACTCCGTCTTCTCCGTTAAAGTCCCTAGCTTTAGCTGGTCGTAACCCGACCCGGTTAACCCAAGCCCTCAAATGGGCGGCCCGCCCGAACCCGCCTCCTTCCTCAGTCGCCATCCTCACCGCCGATACATCAGACGCTGATTCACTACGCCGTCTCTGTAGTCAGACCAAACTCATCCTCAATTGTGTTGGACCGTTTCGTATCCATGGCGATCCCGTCGTCTCCGCTTGTGCCGATTCGGGGTAAAATCGTCTTATGGGTTGAAGCAATATAAGTTTGAAATGCATGATTGTTGAAATTTAAAGTTCGTTTTAGTGGTAACTAAGATCAAGTTTCTAGCTTTTTGTTATCTCGAGATCTTGAGAAACGCTAAGAATAAGATTATGTTCACTTTTTTAGGAAAAAGCTTTATGTTATCAAATTTAAGAAATGATTAAAATTGTATTTTGGAAGAAGTTAGGTACTTGATTGGAAAAAAGTGTAATCTTGTTTAAGTTTCGATCGAATATTTGGATGTAGGGACATATTATAAGATCATTTTCACTTCTCTTTTAAGAGAAAACACTGAAGAAAAATGCTTTCTGTTATCAAATTTAGAGAAAAGATTAAAGCTTGTAGCTTCAAGAAGTTAGAAACCCCATTTTGTTCTTGATAAAAAGAGTAATCTTGTTAAGTTTTTGTTTGCTACATCTTTCTTATAGATGCGATTATTTGGATATAAGAACAAATGATAAATACTGAAGGAAAGCCTGTTGCTATCAAATTTATAAAATAATTAAAGTTGAAGCTTAAAGTCGTTAGAAAAATCTCTGAAAGACCTGAAAGAAAAGCCTTCTATTAAGCATTTATCTCTGATCTAATTTAAGGAATGGATGAAGTTATAGCTTTGATGAAAAAAGTGTAACCTCGTTAAGTTTCGTGGTTGTTTTATAGGTGTGATTATTTGGATATAAGCGGCGAACCTGAGTTCATGGAGAGAATGGAAGCTAAGTACCACGAGAGAGCTCAAGAGACCGGTTCTTTAATCGTTTCTGCTTGCGGTTTCGATTCAGTTCCTGCTGAGTTGGGTCTTCTCTTCAACTCCAAACAGTGGTTGCCTCCTTCGGTTCCTAACCAGATCGAAGCATACCACAGCGTGGAGTCTGACAAAAAAATGGCCGGAAACTTTGGGACTTATGAGTCTGCGGTTTTAGGCGTAGCCAATGCAGACAAGCTTAAGGAACTGAGACGTTCAAGACCAAGAAGGCCAAGGCCATCGGTAAGTATATGCATATAACATAACGTTAACATTTCTTGAATTGACTTAATATTGATGAAACTTTTGCGATGTGTTTGGCAGATTCCTGGTCCTCCAGCTAAAGGACCAACACTAGAAAACAACAAGAAGATTGGTCTTTGGGCTTTAAAGCTACCTTCCGCTGACGCAGTTGTTGTTCGTAGAACTCTCACAACTCTAACAGAGCAACCACATGGGCTCCCTGGGCTTAACGAGAGTCCTGATCAGATACAGAAGAGAGAAGCCTTCTGGTCATCGATCAAGCCAGCTCATTTTGGTGTGAAGATAACATCTAAGTCTCTCTTTGGGATATTCCGATATGTCACACTTGGAGTCTCTCTTGGTCTACTTTCCAAATTCTCCTTTGGAAGATGGCTTCTTTTAAAATTCCCTTCTGTTTTTAGCCTTGGTTGGTTCCAGAAGAAAGGTCCAAGTGAGGAAGAGGTAGAGAGCGCCACGTTTAAGATGTGGTTCATAGGTCGTGGCTACAGCGAAGAGAGTCTTGTTTCATCAGAGGGAAAGACAAAGCCTGACATGGAGATCATTACAAGAATTTCAGGACCGGAGATTGGGTATATAACCACACCGATAACACTTGTTCAGTGCGGTCTGATTGTCTTGGGCGAGCGCGAAAGCCTAGTTAAAGGAGGAGTCTACACGCCAGGCATCGTGTTTGGTTCAACTGATATCCAACAGCGACTTGAAGACAATGGCATATCCTTTGAAGTGATTTCAAAGAACAAGATCCAAGACTAAAAATAAAAGATCTCTTTCTCATGCTCTTCTCTTCTGTTTTCAAGTTTTGTTTCTCCATCTAAAGTAGCCTGTGTTCAAAAACTTCACATGACACGATGAAGACAGTTTAATGGTAAGTTTTGTATTCCGATAATTAATAAAACCGTTTTCCTTGAAGTTTTGTACAGAGATGTGTGAACTACGAACAGAGTATCTGGTGGAGAAAGAACTTTATTTAGTAACCTTAAACTGGAAAAAACCATCCTCTTTAAAAAATGGATGGCAAGAGAATCCCAAATATCAACATTACTATCATTTACCAAAAATTGCAGTCCTTACTACAAAAAAATTGTTGAGAAAGTTGATTTGTTTGTGCCATTTGTCTTATCTACTTGCTGAAGATTTCTCTCATTTGCCTCTGCATTTGTACACGGAAATGCCGTTTTAAAACCATTGAAGTGTTTGAGAGCTATTCACTAACTCTTCTGTGGCTGATCTTCTGAAACAGAGTTGTTGAATCCGAAACAGAGGAGGCTTCAAGAGAGAGAAAGATCATGGCGGGAAACAAGCTTTCCGGATTTGGAACTAGCTGGACCAAAAAGCAACTCCAAGCTAAAATCAGGACCTGATATTGATCTTCCATTACCACCAACTTTATCTAGCTCTCTAATAGAAAACTGCAGGAGAACAAATGACCATTGATAAGCATGTCAAGGAGGATAATAAAGGATTTGGAGAAATGTTTACCTGAAGCAAGCCATTAGTTATAAAAGCTGTGTTGAAGCAAGTATAAAAGAGACGGCTTCCAATCATTTTCTGGTAGAATGTGATGCGTATGTCTCCACTCACCTGTTCAAGAATCATATGATTTATCAAAAATCTTATCAAACATTTGCCTGAGAGATCTGTTTTTTTGTGACTTACTCTCACAGGTTTGTCAAAGTAGAAATCAAGACATGTTTTCTCGTCGATAATGGAACTTTCTGTATCCATTTGAACAACAAGACGTGGCTCTTCTCCGTCTGTTAGCACCTCATCTTCTTCTGAATCATTCACATGAGATATGTAATACCGTGGACTCGAGCTTCTACAATACCCTTTCTTGAATTGTCTACAGCAACCTCTCGCAAGCTCTACAGATGGTCGATACATCTCATTTGGAACCTAACATCAGAAACAGAGTCTTCATGGCATCAAAGTGTATATATCAAGCAGAAACAGAGTCTACAATGCATCAGAGTCTATAATATATAGAGAAGAATCTGCGTCTTCAACACATTAAAGTGTATAAAGCAAGAAGAAACATAGTCTTCATTGCATCAAATTGTATATGCGAGGCAGAAACAGGTTCTACAATGAATCAGACACAGAGTCTTCATTGCATCAAATTGTATATGCCAAGAAGAAACAATGATTCAGAAACAGTCTTCATTGCATCAAATTGTATATGCGAAGCAGAAACAGGTTCTACGATGAATCAGAAACAGTGTCTTCATTGCATCAAACTGTATATCATATCAAGCTGAAACAGAGTCTTCATTGCATCAAACTATATGTAATATCAAGCTGAAACAGAGTCTATAATGCGTCAAAGTGTCTATATATCAAGCAGAAATAGAATCTTCAATGCTATATATATATATATCACACCAAAACAGAGTCTGCATTGCATCAAAATGTACATATAAATCAGAAACAGAGTCTTCAATGCATCAAAATGTATGCATATCAAACCGAAACAGAATCTGCATTGCATCAAAATGTACATATCAAGCAGAAACAGAGTCTTCAATGCATCAAAATGTATGCATATCAAACAGAAACAGAGTCTTCAATGCATCAAAATGTACATATCAAGCACAAAAAGAGCCTTTGATGTATCAAAGTGTCATATATTATATTACCTCCTGAAGTTCTGAGACAACAAAGAAGACGGAATCAACGTTGGCTGTATCATAAAGCCTAATTCTCAGCAGCTCTCTGCTATGTTCTTGAGGTAACTTAACCTCTGGAGGCCCTTTTCCAATTCCTTTACGAAACGAGAGTAAACTTGACCAGTACTTCACATAACGACGTTGGCTTGGTATTGAGACCTGTCAAAGAATTTCAACAGTTTGGTTCATTAGCTTAATCGTATATTACCTCGTAGCTAAATGAAGGGACTTACTCCATTATTGTTTGTGGTTCTTCTGCTTGCATACATCTCAAGAGCTTCTTCAGCTGACATTCCACCATAAACAAGGTAGGCAGATACCATTAGCCCTGTTCTACCTTTTCCTGCCTGCACAAACGTTAACGTACGTTAGAAATCTGATGGTAGAAAAATGTGGAAGAAACCGGTTTTCCGTTTTTTCCGGTTAATAACATACCATGCAATGAACAACAGCGATGTTTTTGGGATCTAATGAGAGCCACGAATCAACACTTTCGCAGAAAAGTTGGATCATTTTAAGAGATGGGACATGGTTATCATCAAATGGAAATCTCTCCACGCGGCCATAAAAGTTTTCTGGATCATAACATTCCTCTATGCATAGATTATAAACCTAAGCAAAAGTTGCAAGAAAAAAGGGTTAAAAACAGAAGTTAATATGTAGAATTAATGTTTTGATTGACCAATTGTCTTAATGAAACCTTGTAATGATCAGAATGTCGCATATCGAGCACGGATCTGACTTGCCAAAGAGGGTTTCTATAAACTGCTCTCATTCGTTCAGCAGGAAAGGACATAGCCAACAATTTGTCTGAGATGTAAGACATGTCGAGATCGTATCCACCGACGATCATCCGTCTTCGTTTCTTGGACACCAAGCTACGTAGGTAAGAGCTTGTGGTTAGGTAAGTCAGAAAGTGAGCCCTCGTTAGTTCCAGAGCTGATTTCTCCTTTACAGGCCCTCTGGAGAGCTTGAGACCCATCCTGGAGGAAAGAAACGTAATAATTAGCCAAATTAGGTTAGGTAACGTACGTTGCAATGAAAAGAGATTAAAGGGTTTTTGTTTACCTGAAGAATTGATCATGAAGCTGAGGAAGCGAGTTTTTTTTTTTTCAGGTTCCCAAATTGAGGGAACTGGGAACCTGAGAAAGAAAGAAGAAGAAGAAGAGGTCGTGAGGCAAAACCAAAACGGAAAATGTTTTTTTTTTTTAAACTTTTTGGAGAAAATGGGTTTTGTTTTGCCTGAATGGAGAAATAGGATAACAGAAGAAAAACGATGAACAACGAGGCAATCCCATTTTTGGAGCTCCTGAAATTTAGGTAAGCTTTTCTTTTAAATTTAGGGTTCTGAATCTCTCTCTCTCTCTACCCATTAGGTTTGGCGGGAATGTAAAAGGGTATACAGAAGATTCATCTTTCAAACAGCTAAAGCCTTGCATTAAACTATGAAGAAAACTATGTCTATTGCTTTGGCTCTTCTACTTCAACATGAATTATGTTTTGTTTACTTTTACGATTTTGATAAAAAAATCTTTTAACACAAAACCATGTTGATGACAACAAAGACTTTGCTCCCGAGAGTTAGAGTATTTGTTTGAGAGGGATGTGGTATGAGAAAGAGAACGTTTTATAGGAGTCTCTTTTCTTCCCTTTAACAAAATCTTAATCAAAAGACTCAATGATCTATCTCTCTCATACAATGCTTAACTTTAATATTACTCAAAATACCTCCACACCATATCATGTATTAATATTAAAGTAACCAATTTATAATACTACTAGCAGCAATTGGGTGAGTTCTTAGCCAAACTAATGCATTTTCTAAAGTATCATACCAATATTTAGTACTAATTTTGAACAATAGATCATCTTCTTTTAAAGGACGCACATATAGATCATTGATTGCCTTTCTAATCCTTTCAACGGTTTGTTTTTTTGGTAACTCTGATGTCAAAAAAATAGAATGAGATACTTTGAAAAATGTAGTTGAAACTAAGTTTTCGGTTTTATTTCCTTAATGAGACTAAATCGCATCAAACCCAAGCAACTCTCAGCGATTTAATCTGAGATACATCTGACTCATTTGATAGCAGAATACGTGGTTTTGCTGCTAAAAGCGAGATTGATTGTATCGACATTTATCGTTTTTCTTTATATTCCATGTCAATCGAGAAAAAGTTATAGAGGCAGGTGATGTGGTTTCAAAGAATAAAGTCGATGACCCTTATTTTTATTTGCCCTTTTCATAGCGGTTATCACGGTCATCACTTCGGCAGACACAAGGATGTATCCTTCATATCACTCAAGACTTATCTCTTTTCTGTTACTACTTTTATCTAGGTCCATTGCAACTACATTTGTGAAAGTATATGATTGTATTCTATTTGACATCAGAGTTACTGAAACTAGAAGAAGCATGTGAAAATATCAAAACTGCACATGGGTTCACACATATCAACAAACCTGTAAGTATCCTTAGAGAAATCAACACCAACCAAGAGGGACTAATCTCTACACAGACTTGGTGATGGCTACTACGATCTCTCTTGTCCTTCACACATAACAACAAACCTATGCTTATACTGTTATTAACATCAACAGATGCCAAACCTGTAAGTATCAGATATCGACGTGATTCAGCAATATATGTTACAAAAAAACTAGATGTTTTTTTCGCACCTTGTACGGAGTTCGATTTAAAAATTTCAAAAGTAATAACATTAGTTTATTTATAGATAAAAAAATCATATGTTATAATTATTCGAAACCAAAATAAATATATCTGAAAAATATAATTTTTATGAATATATTGTTATTATGACAAAGCAAAATATATTATTTATATTTTGTTTTCTAATATTTTTTATATTATCAAATAAAATTTATATGTATGCTTTGTTGTTTTATTGCATTTATCAAACATGATAAATAATTCTCTTCTTTTGGTTGACAGATTAATATTAATAAAATTTAAAGTTTGCATAAAAAAATAAAACATAGCAATCCAAAATGACCAAAACTAAAAGATCATTGTTTCATATCAATTTAACATTAATTAATATATATATATATATATATATAGAGTTTTAAAAAGGCTTAAAGAATTTAAGGTTTTACTTGTGGCCGCATAAATCAATTAGGTTAGTCAAAAATATTAGTAGATTAAACAATCAAATTAAAATTAGTTTTAAAAAATAATTAGGATAATTTTTGTGATTTATGCTAGTTACTTTTTTTTAGTAAACTGAATTTTTTTATAATATAAAGTTGAATTTGGAAATCTAGATTTAAAAAAACTAAAAATCAATTAAAAATTAGATTATATTAATTTTTTAATTTCATTAAAAGTAAATAAAGTCTTTTTATATAAAGGGCAAAAAACAATTAACCATCATAACTCTTAATCACAACCCAAGTTACTTCTCAATTAATAATATGATGAGAATGTGGACAAAATATTTCTTAAAAAACAGAGAATGAACTATTGTTTCTATGATATAGTTTCGATATAAGAATGACTTCAGTAGAAAATCTAAGAAATAAGATTAGTAAATCCTTAAAAAGCATAGGAAATTGCAGAAAGAAGCTTACAACTTGTGGCATCATCCTTTGCCATCTCTAGGAATTGAGCCAAATCAAGGATGGTAATTCTGGAGTAGGCGACAACAGAAGTTGAAACATCTTTTCACCATCCTTGATCTTCACTTGAACGTACAGCTTAGAAATAGTTATTTTATTAAATAAACTCCAAGGAAAGAAGAGATTAGAAAGTATATGGGATCAGATAAGCAGTGGAATCTGTTAAGTTTCGTGATTGTAATCTGAGAATGTTCAATATAGTCAACTTCTCTTTGCTTCAAGAACTTAAATAAAATATATTAGACAAATATTTCTTCAAAAATGCAATGAGTTATTTACTTACTCCGTCTAAGGACATTCCAGCCATGAATACATCTGTAGACGCCAATTCAGCAAGAGAAGTGTGACCTTCAGATTTATAGAGAAGCTTAACATCTGCCTTTCCAGAAGACACCTGCAAACAAAACAAACAAAAATATTTTGAAATTGCTTCCAACTATGTTTCACGTAAAGAGACAAAAAGAAGGAACGTAGCAAATGTTTAGCAAAGCCACAAAAATCTTCAACCCCCCACCGTGGTATCAACGTACGGATTCCGATACTCTCAACCATTATCTTCAAAATAAACCCACATGTGTGTGTGTGTGTGCCGACAAGGTGAAAATGGGACATCGAAAACAAGACGTCTCAATACGAAATAAAACGAAGAGATACCATAACAACAAACAATTGACAAATTTTGAATCATGATGTCAGAAATATAACAAAGAGATACTAAAACTTACCTCTCAAATGAGAGTCTCCAGCTGTGGAGAGAAAGTTGAACGCTCCAGCCTTATATACATCTCTAGACACTTCAGGACAGAAACTCGGAGCCTGCATATTGCACCACGTTTGAGTATGAAGTCCCAACTTTAAGTCAATAAGTAAACTTAAGTAATCAAAGTAAACTTTGAGTCAACAAGCCACGCAAGTCTCTGGAAAATCATCATGCTTAGAGTAACCTACCGTTGCTTGAGGAGACAAACTCTGTAGTTCCATTTCAAATGGCTCATCCATCACATCATGGAACAATAAACATGACATAAGCAACAAAATTAACAAAGTAGATAGAGAAATCTGAGAAAACACCACATATAAGTTCAACGACAAGGCAGTTCTTCTCACCATCCCTGTTATCAAGATCATAAATAATAGCAGCTGTTGGTTTGTTGATGATTCTGGCGATATCTAGACCAGCAATAACACCAAAATCTTGTCAAAATCTTCACATAGTCAGATATAAGAACCAATAAATAAGCAAACCTGGAACCAGATACATATATATATATCAGACTAGTATTTCTATCATGTACAGTAGAAACTCTATAAATTAATAATATTGGGATTTTGATATTTTATTAATTTATAGAGTTGTTAATTTATCAGTTTTGGATAAAATAGATTATTTATTAATAATTAATTAAAATAATATTTTCTTTAAAATTTATAATATTTGCCAAAACTTTTATTCTAAAGAGAAATGATAAAAATATTTCAATTTTAATATGAAAACAACAATATATTCATATTTTAATAGATTATCATAATTATATATTTATATAAAATTATTTTATATGATATTTATTAATTAAGGGATTCTTGCAAAAATAACTCAAAAATTGATTTCAATTGCAATCTAACCTCCAAAACTGGCCACTTCAAAATTTGCCACTTTCTCCCAAATAAATCCTTCATAGATTCAGTTATTTATGAAATTGCCATTGTTTTAAATTAATTTTTTTAATTTTCGAAAATCCAAATGACCAACTAATCCTCATCTTCCTCATTTATTTACGAAAATGTCATCATCATCAATTCACCCAACCACCATTTTCAACCAATTTCAAGCTGTAATGGCACCAAAAACTCAATTTTGAGTTTGTTTAGCTCATTACTTTTCTCTTAAGCTTATATTCTTCCATTTTCTCTCTATTTTCTTTCCAAAAACTCTATAATTTGACTATTAGAAAGTTGATGTTCATATATATTTCTATATTCCGGCGAGTTGGTTGTTTTTTTGCGGTTGTGTTTCTTTCATGGTGGCTAGAATCGAAGATCTTGACCAGAAAAGAAGCTAAAGACGAGTGGTAAGTCGGATTTTTAGTCAATTTTAGTGTTTTCAGTTCTGGACTTCGAAAGTAGACTTCTCTTGGTCCGAATGAAGTCTACTAGTCAACGCCCAAGTTAGTTTTGCAATTGACTGCATGAAAAAGTAGATTTCTTTTGGTCTGAATGAAGTCTACTCCATTTCCTTTGATAACAAAAAAATAGAATAGACTTCTCGAGTAGACTTCTTTAGAAGCAGATCATTTTTGCAATTGACCAACCTTTGACTTTGTAGAGTAGACTTCTCCATGAAAAGTAGACTTCCCCGAGAAGTCTACTTCCAAAAGTCTACTTCTCATAGAAGTCTACTTTTCTTGAAGAATTCTACTAATCTTTTGGCAATTGCAAAACTAACCCGCGAGAAGTCTACTTTTCTCCGAGAAGTCTACTTTTCTCCGAGAAGTCTACTTTTCTTGTTTTAAAAAAAAATTATTTTTATACAATATATAACTAATTTTTAAGATTTTCATGATCCTATGCTTCTTTTAGTAAGTGTTCTTGTTTATGCATAAG